TGGGAGCTGCGTCTTGTGCAGGGCCCAGCTGCTCTCTGGGGCTGCATGAATCATCTCCCCTGGGCCCTGGACTCAGACTGGGGCCTCCCCACCTCCCTCTCGGCTGTGCCTTACAGAGCCCTGGTCCAGGCCTCCTGCGGCTGTTGGGTTCCAGATGCTGCAGCTCCACGTGACTTCCCAGCAGGCCCTCCACCCTCCCTGCTGAATGGAGGAGCTGGGGGTCCCCCAGGCCAACTGGAAACATCTCCCAGGCTAGGCCAATTGCCTTTTGCACTTCCCTGTTCCTGTCACATTTCCCCAGCCCCACCTTCCCCTCCTGATGCCCTGAAAGCTTCCGGAATTGACTGTGACTGCTTGGATGTCGCCACTGTCAGCCCCTGCCTTGATGTCCCCATTTAGCCATCTCCATGGAGCTCCTGCTGGAGGTCCCTGAACCCTGCACTGCGTGGCTGCTCAACTGGCTGCTTCCTGTCCTGGGAGGAGGCCTCCTGGGTATCCTCATCTGCTGTGGCTACCGGAGGATCCCACAGGAGAGGCAGCAGAGGGGTCAGTGGAGGTCTCCTGCCAGGGACTGGCCTCTCAAGCCTCAGGGGTTCTAGCCTGTTAAATATCTCCCACCTTATGGTGGCCCCTCCAATGTCCCCACTGATGGCTCTGACACTGTGTTGGTGGCGATGTTCCAGACAATCCCACCAGGATGGCCCAGACATCCCTACTGGCCTCGCTAGTGGCTCATCTCGGACACCCATGCCAGCCTTTCTGGGGCCGGCCACCCAGGCCGCCTGTCCATCTGTCCTCCCTCCAGCAGCACCCCCTGGCCCCTGGAGTGGTGGGGCCATGGCAAGAGACACCATGGCGTCTCATGCGAACTTTCCTGGGCACTGTGGTTTTATTTCCTAATTGATTTAAGAAATAAACCTGAAGACCATCTGGTGCCTGCTGGGAGCCCATTCATTGAGTGTCCCCACGTGGCACAGAACTCTTGCTGAGTTTCAGAAGGCAGGACTTGGCCAGCCGGGCATAGTGGCTCATGCCTGTAATCCCAGCACTTTGAGAGGCTAAGGTGGGTGAATCACTTGAGCCCAGGAGTTCAAGACCAGCCAACATGGTGAAACCCTGTCTCTACTAAAAATACAAAAAAAAAAAAAAAAAAAAAAATTAGCTGGGCTTGGTGGCTCACACCTGTCATCCCAGCTACTCGGGAGGCTGAGGCAGGAGAATCGCTGGAACCCAGGAGGCAGAGGTTGCAGTGCACTCTAGCCTGGGTGGCAGAGCGAGACTCTGGTTCAAAATAGAAAAAGAGAGAGAGGGAAGGAGGGAAAGAGGGAGGGAGGAAAGAAATACAAAAAGTAGTCAGGCATGGTGGTATGGGAGAAAGGGAGAAAGGAAGGGAGAGAGGGAAGAAGGAAGGAAATACAAAAGATAGCCAGGTGTGGTGGTGCGCACCTGTAATCCCAGCAACCCCGGAGGCTGAGGCAGGAGAATTGCTTGAGCCCAGGAGGTGGAGGTTGCAGTGAGCTGAGATGGTGCCACCGCACTCCATCCTTGGTGACAGAGCGAGACTTTGTCTCAAAAAAAAAAAAAAAAAGGCAGCGGGACCTCGTACCATGCGGCCCCCTCTGCAAGACCGAAGGGACCTTGGGGCAGGGGCACTCGGCTTGGCCGTCTCACTGGCCTGCCGAGGGGGAGGCACCTTCCTGCAGGGTCTGGGCCTCACAGGCCTGCGCTGGCCTCTGTGGTTGCAGGGGAGGGATGGCCAACCTGCCTGTGAGTTCCTGCAGGTGTTGCAGGATGGCTCCGATCACGGTGTGTCCTGGCACCTGTGGCTGCCCTGGGAGTGTCCTTCCGTGTACAGGCCGGCTGCTGTGAGAGCTCTGGGTGAAAGTCGCTAAGCCTGGTGGGGTGGCCATCTGAGCTGGGATTCGAACCCAGGACTCCAAGCTCAGGAGTCTATATAGTATTCCTCCCAATCCCTGGGGGATATGTTCCAAGACCCCAAATTGATGCCTGAAACTGACCATAATACTGAGCCCTAAATAGGTTTTGTTTCTTTTCTTTTCTTCTTTCTTTCCTTTCCTTCTCTTTTTCTTTCCCTTCCTCCCTCCCTCCTTTCCTTCATCCTTCCCTCCCTTTCTAATTTTAATTTAATTACTTTATTTATTTTTGAGACAGAGTCCTGCTGTCTCCCAGGCTGGAGTGCGGTGGCACGATCTCCACTCACTGCAAGCTCCGCCTCCTGGGTTCACGCCATTCTCCTGTCTCAGCCTCCCAAGTAGCTGGGACTACAGGCGCCCGGGTAATTTTTTGTATTTTTAGTAGAGACAGGGTTTCACCGTGTTAGCCAAGATGAGTCTCGATCTCCTGACCTCGTGATCCGCCCGCCTCGGCCTCCCAAAGTGCTGGAATTACAGGCGTCAGCCACCGCGCCCGGCCTTATTTATTTTTAAGACATGGTATTCTGTTGCCCAGACCGGAGTACAGTGGCATGATCATGGCTCACTGCAGCCTTGACCTCCCACACTCAAGCAATCATCCATCAGCCTCCTGCGCGGCTGAAACTACAGATGCGCACCATCACGCCCAGCTCATTTTTTGATTTGTCTGCAAAGATGAGGTCCCACTGTATTGCCCAGACTGGTCTATAACTCCTGGGCTCAAGCCATCCTCCTGCCTTGGCCTCCCAAAGTGCTGGGATAACAGGTGTGAGTCACCGTGCCCAATTTATACTGGTTTTTGGATCTCATAACCAGGAGGCTACTAAGTGACAAATGAGTGGGCGTGGCGGGATTGGTGTCTCCAGCATGGATCTGCTGGACAAAGGGGTGATTCATGACCCTGGGCGCGACAGAGAGGGACGGAGCAAAGCAGTCCAAGATTTCATCATGCTCCTCAGAACAGCACGCAATTTAAAACTTATGAATTGCTTATTTCTGGAATTTTCCATGTAATATGTTTGAACTGTGGAAACCTCAGAAAGAAACTTTGACTAAGCGGGGACTACTGTACTCTCAACTGACTCTCACCTCTGCTGTCCCCCTCCTGTGTCATAATGTTGGCCTCCTGTTTGTTGTCTCTATCTCGGGACAGGAGGTGACAGAGCTTTTGCTGGGAGAGGGCACTGAGTGGGTGACCCTTGCGTGCAGGTGAGCAAGTGAATTCTTTTTTTTTTTTTTTTTTTTGAGATGAGATCTCACTCTGTCACCCTAGGCTGAGAGTGCAGTGGTGCAATCTGACTCACTGCAGCCTCCGCCTCCCAGGTTCAAGCCATTCTCCTGCCTCAGCCTCCCAAGTAGCTGGGATTCTCCTGCCTCAGCCTCCCGAGTAGCTGGGATTGCAGGCACGCGCTGCCATGCCGGGCTAATTTTTTGTATTTTTAGTAGAGATGGTGTTTCTCCATGTTGGTCAGGCTGGTCTTGAACTCCCGACCTCAGGTGATCCGCCCACCTCAGCCTCCCAAAGTGCTGGAATTACAGGTGTGAGCCACCACACCCAGCCCTCCTTTCTTTTTGAATAGTCCTGGCACAGTTGCCAAAGATGAGTTGACCATATGTGTGGGTTTATTTCTGCATCAGTTCCAATCATTTATTTGTATGTCTATCCTTATGCCAATACCACACTGTTCTGATTACTGTACCTTTTTATTAAGTTTGAAATGAGAAAGTATATGTCCTCCTATTCAAAATTGGTTTGGCTATTTGGGGGCCATTTGCAATTTATTATGGAATTTAGGATCAATTTGTCAATTTCAACAAAAACACTAAATTTGAAAGGGATTACATTGCATCTGTAGACCAATTTGTGGAGTACTGCCATCTTAACAATATTATGCTTTCCAATCCATGAACATGGAAGTCTTACCATTTATTTAGATCATCTTTAATATTTTTTTCAGCAAAGTTTTAGTTATTTTGCTTGTTCTGAGACAGGGTCTCACTCTATTGCCCAGGCTGGAGTGGAGTGGCAGGAACACGGCTCACTGCAGCCTTAGCCTCCTGGGCTCAAGTGATCCTCCCACCACAGCCTCCCAAGTAACTGGGACCACAGGCAGCTGCCACCAGGTCCAGCCTTGGCTTCCCAAAGTGCTGGGATTACAGGTGTGAGCCACCAAGCCCAGCTACAGCTCTCAATGAACAAGGTCTTGTACTTCTTTCATTAAATTTATTCCTGCTTTATTCTTTATGATGCTATGGTAAATGGAATCGTTTTCTTAATTTGGTACTGATTTTAAAATCCACTACCTATGTGAGTTGAACTGTGCTTACACACCTCACTGAAATGTCCCACTCTCAGAAGTGGCCCTGCCTCCCCCGGTCCACCAGGCCTTCTTCCCCTTCCAGCCCTCTGTCCAGGCAAGAACTCGATTGGAGGCCTTTCTGGGCACTCAGAGGTACACAACAGCACACTAGGAGCGTTAGCTGAAGAAATTCAATAGGCATGGCCAGGCGCGGTAGCTCTTGCCTGAATGCTACTACTTTGGGAGGCCGAGATGGGAAGATCGCTTGAACCCAGGAGTTCGAGACTAGCCTAGACCATATATATATGGAGCCCGTCCCCCCGGAAAAAGTTAAAACAAACAAACAAAAATTCAACAAGCATATTTTCATCCCCTACTTTTTTCTGAGATGGAGTCTTGCTCTGTCGCCCAAGCTGGAGTGCAGTGGCATGATCTCGGCTCACTGCAACCTCCGCTTCCCGGGTTCAAGCGATTCTCCTGCCTCAGCCTCCCGAGTAGCTGGGATTACAGGCACGCGCCACTACGCCCGGCTAATTTTTTAAATTTTTAGTAGAGACGGGATTTCACCATGTTGGCCAGGCTGGTCTGGAACTCCCGACCTCGGGTGATCCGCCCACTTCGGCCTCCCAAAGGGCTGGGATTACAAGCATGAGCCACTGCGCTCGGCCTCATACCCTACTTTGTGCCAGGCATAGTTCAGGAAGCTTACGAGGCATTAAGTGAAAAAAACAATATCCCTAAGTTTATGGGGCTTATATTTTAATTAACGGGGGTGGACAACAAGATAAATATATTTAAAGGTGCAGGAATTTTAAAACTCGTCAAAACACGCCCTCCTCCAGAAAATCCCTGCCACCTCGAAAGGACATCCTCTTCTTGAGCTCCCCTCTCTGGCACTCCCTGATACCGCAAGATTGAGCATTCGCGCACTGGCTTCCCGAACTCACTTCGACTCAGCCACAGCAGAGAAAGATTCAATGGGTAGGGCCGGACCGACCACCCGACACTCGCGGTGCTTCACTTGCCTCATTGCGCATGTACCAAAGGCAATCGCCCAAAGTACTCGAAGCCGAGCAGCAGGGCCGGCCCTTGCGCAGGCGTACTAGCGGCCTTCGGGAGCGCTTCCGCCTCCCCGCCACCGCCCTCGCCATGGCCGCGCCGGCCCCGGGCCTCATCTCGGTGTTCTCGAGCCCCCAGGAGCTGGGTGCGTCGCTAGCGCAGCTGGTGGCCCAGCGCGCAGCATGCTGCCTGGCGGGGGCCCGCGCCCGTTTCGCGCTCGGCCTGTCGGGCGGGAGCCTCGTCTCGATGCTAGCCCGCGAGTTGCCCGCCGCCGTCGCCCCTGCCGGGCCAGTCAGCCTAGAGCGCTGGACGCTGGGCTTCTGCGACGAGCGCCTCGTGCCCTTCGATCACGCCGAGAGCACGTACGGCCTCTACCGGGTGAGAGCTACGGGGGCCGCCGGGGGTCACGCCGAAAGGGCCACAGCTACCACCTACACCCCAGCTACGGAGGCCGCCGGGGGCCATGCCGAGAGGGCCGCGCCCACTGCCTGCACCTCGGTTACGGGGGCCGTTGGGAGTCACGCCGAGAGGGCCGAGCCCACTGCCTGCACCTCGGCTACGGGGGCCACTGGGTATCATGCCAAGAGGGCCGTGCCCACTGCCTGCACCTCGACTACGTGGGCCGCTGGGGGTCATGCCAAGAAGGCCGCGCCCACCGCTTGCACTTCGGCTACGGGGCTCCTGGGAGGTCATGCCGAGAGGGCCACGCCCACTGCCTGCACCTCGGCTACGGGGGCCGCTGGGGGTCTTGCCGACTGGGCTCGCCCTCCGCCTGAACCCCGCCTACAGTGGGTCCCGCAGGATCTCACTGCGCCCTCTGCATTTATCTGGGCAGGGCTAGAAATGGTCTACTTGTAGTCCGTCTTCATGCTTCATCCGGTGACCAGGCAGAGGGAACGGCACGGGCAAGGGCCTGGAATGGAATCCGAGTGGCCCATTTCAATACGATGCCCATAACTCAGCCCCGTAGCGGACGGGGACACGAGGAATCAGGTGTAGAGCCTGAGTCTCAGGGTCATGATCTCTAACCCCGGCGAGTTCTCGAGGATCCCTGGGCAGCTTTGCCGCTCTGATGGCTCTGCTTCCAGGCTCTTTATCTTTGGAATTGAGCCTAAGGATTCTATAGAATCAGAGGAACGCGCTCTTTTTATAGACAGGGAAACTGAGGCTTGGAGGAGCCTTGGTCTGGCCAAGGGAAGAGTGGGAGGGGCGGGCTCAAAGACCAGGAACCTCAAGTCACCTGAGCCTGGCAGCGTCAAGGGACACCCCATGCTGGGTGTGTCGTCTTCTCTTTGCATAGAATATTGAGCTGATGATGGCTTTGTGGGTATTTTATTAAGAGAAAAGGCTTACTGAATGCTTTATATGCATCAATTCATGAATCCGTACCACAGCCTATGAGATGTTACACCCATTTCACAGATGGAGAAACTGAGGCCAGAAGAGGCGAGCTTACCTGCCCAAGGCATCTAGTGACCAGAGGGGCAGCCAGGGTGTGACCCTGCCTCATCTGACTTCGTAGTTGGGGACACATTTAACTTCCGCCTTCCTGTGTGTGTTTTCCAAGAGCATCATTAAAAAGCGGGTTTTGCCCGACCCTGGTGGCTCACGCCTGTAATCCCAGCACTTTGGGAGGCTGAGGTGGGTGGATCACCTGAGGTCAGGATTTCGAGACCAGCCTGGCCAATGTGGCAAAACCCCGTCTCTACTAAAAAAAAAAAATACAAAAATTGGCTGGGCGCGGTGGCTCATGCTTATAATCCCAGCACTTTGGGAGGCTGAGGCAGGCAGATCACGAGGTCAGGAGTTTGAGACCAACGTGACCAATATGGTGAAACCTGTCTCTACTAAAAATACAAAAATTAGCCAGGCGTGGGGGTGCGTGCCTGTAATCCCAGCTGCTCGGGAGACTGAGGCAGGAGAATCGCTTGAACCCGGGAGGTAGAGATTGCAGTGAGTGGAGATCATGCCATTACACTCCAACCTGGGCAACAGAGCGAGACTTTGTCTTAAAGGAAAAAAAAGCGGGTTTTTGGCCGGGTGTGGTGGCTCGTGCCTGTAATCCCAGCACTTTGGGAGGCCGAGGAGGGCGGATCTCCTGAGGTCAGGTGTTGGAGACCAGCCTAGCCAACATGGTGAGACCCCATCTCTACTAAAAATACAAAAGTTAGCTGGGTGTGGTGGCGCGCGCCTGTAATCCCAGCTACAGGGGAGGCTGAGGCAGGAGAATCGCTTGAATGTAGGAGCAGTGAGCTGAGATCGTGCCACCGCACTCCAGCCTGGGTGACAGTTGAGACTGTGTCTCTAAATAAATAAATAATTGTGAAATGCTGCAGAGTGCTAGTGAATAGGGAGTGAGCATTCGTCAAGGGCTATGGGGTGGGAGGTCCTGAGAAGGTGCCATTTGAGCTGAGAGCTGGAGCACGTGCAGGAGCTGGCCGTGGTCAAGCTGCGGCAAGAGGGCTCAGCCAAGGCCAAGGCCGTGTGATGGGAACAAATCTGGAGCCAGGACTTGCTCCTTCTGCCAGTTCTCTGTGAGGGGAATTGTATTGGTTCCCTAGGGCTACATAACAAATGACCACAAACTGAGCGGCTTAAAACGACAGGAATTTATTCTCTCACCATTCTAGAGGCCAGAAGTCTGAAATCAAGGTGTTGATGGGGTCATGCCCCATCTGAAAGCTCTTTGGGAGGATCCTTCATTTTCTCCTCCATCTTCTGGGGGCTCTGGGCATTCCTTGTCTTGGGGTCACATCATTCCAGTTCCTGCCTCTGTCTGCACATGGCCTTCTCGGATTCTGTGTGTCTTCTCGTCTTATATAAGGATGCCAGTCATGGATTTAGGACCTACACTAATCCACTATGACTTGTTCTTAACTAATTACATCTGGAAAGACCGTTTCCTTTCCCTCCCTCCCTCCCTCCCTTCCTTCTCTCCATCCCTCCCTCCTTCCTTCCTTCCTATACTTTCTTTTCTTTTCCTTTCCTTTTCTTTCTTTTTTCGAGATAGGATCTTGCTGTGTTGCCCAGGCTAGAGTGCAGAGGCACGATCATGGCTTACTGCAGCTTTCAACTCCTGGGCGCTATCAATCCTCCTGCCTCAGCCTCCTCATTAGCTGGGACCACAGGTGTACACCACTAGGCCCAGCTATGTTGTTTTTTTTTTTTTTTTGGGTTGGAGTTTCGCCCTTGTTGCCCAGGCTGGAGTGCAATGGCGCAATCTCAGCTCACCGCAACCTCTGCCTCCCGGGTTCAAGTGATTCTCCTGCTTCAGCCTCCCAAGTAGCTGGGATTGCAGGCATTCACCACCATGCCCAGCTAATTTTGTATTTTTAGTAGAGACAGGGTTTCTCCATGTTGGTCAGGCTGGTCTCAAACTCCTGACCTCAGGTGATCCGCCCGCCTCGGCCTCCCAAAATGCTGGGATTACAGGCATGAGCCACCGCGTGAGGCTGCTAACTTTTTATTTTAAGTAAATATGAAGTCTCACTATGCTGCCCAGGCTGGTCTCAAACTCCTGGGCTCAACCGATTGTCCCACCTCAGCCTCCCAAACAGCTGGGATTACAGCCATAAGCCACCATGCCTGGCCATTTTCTGATGTTTATAAGCCTCAAGTTTATGGTGTTTTGTGATAGCAGCCTGCATAGTCTAACACAGGGAACTTGGACAAAGCTGAGCGATCTTTCCAACTATGGATACGATTGTGTCCCTCCCCAGCTTACACACCCTCCTTGGCTCCCCAGTGCCCTCAGTGTGGAGCTCATACTCCTCAGCATTCAAGGCAGTCAGCCCCTGCGTTTACTTTGTGGCTTACCTTAGCATTGCCTCAGCTCACTGAGCTAGACTGCACAACAGTGAGGCACCGAGACATGGAAGCCGTCTCAGAGCAGATCAGGCCCCCCGAGCGCATCTCAGCGGGATATGGCTGCAGCTTTCTCCTTGCAGGAGGCCTGACTCCAAGTGCTTTTGAGTTAAATCTGCTGCCAACTCCTCCACCATTCACAGGCCAGGGCATCTCCTGTGCGTTGGCCACAAGTGCTGGGCCTGGGCAAACCTGGCCCCCACTCCCTATAGTGGGGCCGGTGCAGGCGGGGGTGGCTGCTTGGAGGAGGTGGCCTGAGGGATATATAGGAGTTTCCCAGGCAGCGTCAGGAGGGAGGGTGGGGATGAAGAAGGTCACCCTTCTCCATGGAGGGCGGTGAGGGGCTGAGTTTTATCCCAAGGGCCGTGGGACCCTGGAGGCTTTGAAACAGCACAATGGGCTGGCTAGACACGTGCAGGCTGTGACCGGGAAACCCCCCAAATACAACGGAATTGAAAGACTCCTGTTGGAATGCTGGCCCCAGCAGGAACCACCATGATCTCGATTCACCCAGGAGAGCCGCCCTCCTGTCCAGCCCCTCAAGAGCAGCAGGGTTCCCTCTTGCCCTTGAACCTCCTGTGCCCTTAGAGGCGGCATCACCCAGGGCTTAGGATCCTGGCTTCCAGCATTCCAGAGGTGACTCACCAACCAAAGTGTCACTCACCAACCGAAGGACCTTGCACAAATGCGCCAGCCTCCCCATGCCTCAGTCTCCCCATCTGTAAATGAGTGTTACGACAGTAATGTCATAGCCTCCCTGAAGGATCCAGGTGGTCACGTTACTGTTGGTGACACTGTCCCTCTGTTGGCTGCAGACGCATCTTCTCTCCAGATTGCCGATCCCAGAAAGCCAGGTGATCACCATTAACCCCGAGCTGCCTGTGGAGGAGGCGGCTGAGGACTACGCCAAGAAGCTGAGACAGGTGAGCCCCAAGGAGCGGCTGCAAGGGAGTCACATCCACGAAGTGGCCACACCCCGGGCAACAGAGCGGCCTTCTGATTGTACCAGCAGGAACTGCCCCAGGGATAACTGGCAGATCCCTTTGAGGAATCCCCTCTTCAAGGCCGCAGCCCTGCCCTGGGAAGCCTGAAGGCCACCCAGCCTCTGTTGCCCAGGTAACAGGCCTGGGTCCTCACATCTTGGTGAAATATGATGGGTGTGGCTTTGATCACAGGCTAGGTTGAGCACGGTTTCCTGTGTTACAGCTACTTGTATTGAGACGGAGTATCGCTTTGTCGCCCAGGCTGGAGTGCAGTGGCACAATCTTGGCTCACTGCAAGCTCCACCTCCCGGGTTCATGCTATTCTCCTGCCTCAGCTTCCTGAGTAGCTGGGACTACAGGCGCCCGCCACCACAGCCGGCTAATTTTTTATATTTTTCAGTAGAGACGGGGTTTCACCGTGTTAGCCAGGATGGTCTCGATCTCCTGACCTCATGATCCACCCGTCTCGGCCTCCCAAAGCGCTGGGATTACAGTTGTGAGCCACCGTGCCCGGCATTTTTTTTTTTTTTTTTTTTTTTTTTGAGACGGAGTCTCACTCTCTCACCTGGGCTGGAGTGCAGTGATGCAATTTCAGCTCACTGCAACCTCTGCCTCCCGAGCTCAATTAATTATCCTGCCTCAGCCTCCCAAGTATCTGGGACTACAGGCGCCTGCCACCATGCCCAGCTAATTTTTATATTTTTAGTAGAGACAGGGTTTCACTATGTTGGCCAAGCTGGTCTTGGACTCCTGACCTCGTGATCCACCCACTTCGGCCTCCCAAATTGCTGAGATTTCAGGCGTGAGCCACCACACCCAGCCACAGCTACTTGTATTTTTTTATCTGACAATGGTCTCTGTGTCCTCTGAGTCTCCCCTGCCCCTGCCGCCTACAACCTCTCAAGACTGTCTTCTCCCCACGCCCAGGCATTCCAAGGGGACTCCATCCCAGTTTTCGACCTGCTAATCCTGGGGGTGGGCCCTGATGGCCACACCTGCTCACTCTTCCCAGACCACCCCCTCCTGCAGGTGAGCACTCCAATGCGGAGGTCTGCCCTAGTCCTGAGTCCAGTCCCTAACATCTGGGACTTCCAGAGGGAGGGCCACCTGCGGGGTGGGGTGTCTAGAGCCGGGGTTCAAGTCAGCCTCCACCAGCGTACCTGCCGGCTGGGCTCAACCCTTCCAGGTCTCAGTTCAGCCCCTTAAAACAAGGACCTTAAACTACCCACCATGGGATTGTTAGGATGGGATGGAACGGTGGCTGGACCAGGCCTGGTGTATGTAAGTGTCCAAGAAGCTGAAGTGACATTGTCCTTCTGCCTCCATCCCTGGGCTTCCTCCCCAAGGAGCGGGAGAAGATTGTGGCTCCCATCAGTGACTCCCCGAAGCCACCGCCACAGCGTGTGACCCTCACGCTACCTGTCCTGAATGCAGCACGAACTGTCATCTTTGTGGCAACCGGAGAAGGCAAGGCGGCTGTTCTGAAGGTAACAGCAGAGGGTTCTAGTCCTGGGAAGTTCATGGGCATGTGGGCCCCAGGGACAGATAATGGCCCCAGACATTATTGTGCTGAAGCATCAGATCTGAAGAAAACTCAGTCCTTCTTGGGTTGAAAGGGAACTTGAAATTGCAATTAGAAAAAAAGGAAAAAATAAAAAAGGAAATTACAATTAAACGTTAGTTAGGTATTAACCGCTATGAAATGAACTTGATGAGATGAGGCCAAAGCTGCACTCAGAGGTAAATTAATAGCATTCAAATGCATTTTAAAAAAATTATTAAATAGCAAACCATTGAAATAAATAAATAAATAAAGTGCTTTCCTGTAGAATTAGAAAAAGGACAATAATAGGTTGGGCACGGTGGCTCACACCTATAAGCCCAGCATTTGGGAGGCCAAGGCGGGTGGATCACCTGAGGTCAGGAGTTCCAGACCAGCCTGGCCACCCTGGTGAAACCCCATCTCTGCTAAAAAAACAAAAATTAGCTGGGCATGGTGGTAGGCGCCTGTAATCCCAGCTACTCAGGAAGCTGAGGCGGGAGAATCACTTGAACCTGGGAGGCGGAGGTTGCAGTGAGCTGAGATCACACTACTGCACTCCAGCCTGGGCGACAGAGTGAGACTCCATCTCAAAAAAAAAAAGAAAAAAGAAAAACTAGAAAAAGGACAATAATATAAATCTACAAAAGTCAGTGGCAGGACTAAGTGAAATTAAAATCAGAAATTAATGAATTAGTTAATATAGTTTAAACTTTAATGGTAATTAGATGTAAAAGATAGACAAGCTCCTGACAAGGCTAATCAAGAGAAAAGAAAGTCACATGGTATTATGAATAAAAAGGCACAGCTGGGCATGGTGGCTCACACCTGTAATCCCAGCACTTTGGGAAGCCTAGGCAGGTGGATCACCTGAGGTCAGGAGTTCTAGACCAGCCTGGCCAACACGGTGAAACCGTCTCTATTAAAAATACAAAAATTAGCCGGGTATGGTGGCAGGCGCCTATAATCCCAGCAATTCGGGGGGTCGAGGCAGGAGAATCGCTTGAACCCAGGAGGCGGAGGTGGCAGTGAGCCGAGATCGTGCCATTGCACTCCAGCCTGGGGAACAAGATTGAGACTTTGTCTCAAAAAAAAAAAAAAGTTAGCCGGGTGTGGTGGCACTTGCCTGTAATCCCAGCTACTCGGGAGGCTGAGGCAGAAGAATCACTTGAACCTGGGAGGCGGAGGTTGCAGTAAGTCAAGATCGCATCACTGCACTCCAGCCTGGGCGACAGAGCGAGGCTCCGTCTCAAAAAAATAAATTAATTAATTAAAATAGTTATAGTGGATAGAAAGGAAGGGACTCTGTCCCTGCTGTTTGGCACTAGGACAGCTGAGCTGGGCATCGTCACATTTTGAGGATACAAGAGTCTTACTTATCCTTGGCAAGGGAGCCAGGAGAGTGCTGAGGGGCGGCGCCTGGGGCGCAGGCAGGGCTTTACTCTTCTGTCCTCTTCTACAGCGCATTTTGGAGGACCAGGAGGAAAACCCAGTGCCTGCCGCCCTGGTCCAGCCCCACACCGGGAAACTGTGCTGGTTCTTGGACGAGGCAGCCGCCCGACTCCTGACCATACCCTTCGAGAAGCATTCCACTTTGTAGCTGGCCAGAGGGATGCTGCAGCTGGGACCAGGCACACGGCCCCAGGGGCTGGGCCCCTGCTGGCCGCCACGCTCTCGGTTCTTCTTTGAAAAAGCTGGTGGTGGTGCTGCTGCTGGAAGCCAACAGCGTCCAGCCACCAGCCCTGCCCGGGGCTCAACACACAGGCTGTGGCTCTGGGCATCCGGATATTAAAAGGAACGTTGCTGGAAGTCTGCACTGTCTCGTGGTCTTCGATGGCAGCAGACCTGAGGGCGCCCTGGCCCAGGTTCTGATCCACAGCCCTCATCAGTGGGGAGGAGGGTGGAGCCTGCTCCCCTGGGGCATAGCCGCCATGGATGAATTTCCTAAGACAATAGGCAGGGCGAGGTGGCTCACACCTGTCATCCCAGCATTTTGGGAGAATGAGGTGGGCAGATCACTTGAGGTCAGGAGTTTGAGACTAGCCTGGCCAACATGGTGAAATCTCGTCTCTACTAAAAATACAAAAATTAGCTGGGTGTGGTGGTGCGCACCTGTAGTCCCAGCTACTTGGGAGGCTGAGGCACAACAATCGCTTGAACTGGGGAGGTAGAGGTTGCAGTGAGCTGAGATCGTGCCACTGCACTCTACCCTGGGTGACAGAGCGAGACTCCGTCTCAAAAAAAAAAAAAAAAATGCTGGGCATGGTGGTTCACTCCACCCAGCACTTTGGGAGGCCGAGGCGGGCGGATCACCCGAGGTCAGGAGTTTGAGACCAGCCTGATCAATATGGCAAAACCCCATCTCTACTGAAAATACAAAAATTAGCTGGGTGTGGTGGCATGTGCCTGTAATCCCAGCTACTTGGGTAGCTGAGACAGGAGAATTGCTTGAACCCGGGAGGCGGAGATTGCAGTGAGCCAAGATTGCACCATTGCACTCCAGCCTGGGCAACAAGAGTGAAACTCCATCTTAAAAAAAAAAAAAAAAGCACACACACAAATGTATTCTCTCTTATTCTCTCTTAGCTGTAGAGATCAGAAATCCAAGGTCAAGGTGGTGGCAGGGCTGGTTCCCTCTGGAGGCTCTGAGGCAGAGCCTATCCCAGGCCCCTCCTGTCCTTGGCATTCCTTAGCTTGTGGCCGTGTCACTCCAGTCTCTTGTCTTTGCTTGGACTTCTTTCTCTTGCGTGTTCTCTGCTCCTATTTATTTATTTTTTTGAGACAGGGTCTCTGTGTGTCACTCAGGCTGGAGTGCAGTAGTGCAATCACAGCTCACTGCAGCCTCCATCTCCTGGGCTAAAGCGATCCTCTCACCTCAGCCTCCCAAGGAGCTGGCGCTACAGATGCGCACCACCACGCCTGGCTACTTGACACATTTTTTGTAGAGACAGGGTCTTGGTACGTTGCCCAGGTTGGTTGTGAATCCCTGAGATCAAGCGATCCTCCAGCCTCAGCCTGCCAAAGTGTTGGGATTACAGGCATAAGCCATTGTGCCCAGCCCTCTTTTCTTAAAAGGACACCTCTCATTGGATTTAGGATTGCTCAAGATACCAAATGAGTATTCCAAATAAGTTCCAAATAAATGCCTATTTGGAGTAAGCGTTCCGAATAAGGTCACATGCTGAGTTTCCTGGGTCAGATGTGTCCTTTGGGGGACATAAGTCAACCCTCTGCTGAGCTGCAACTGCACTGACAGGGCCATGCACTGGATTCAGCCGCGCTGCAGACCTGCTCAGAGCCTTGAAAGCACCAGAGAGTCTAGTGTCCATGTGCTGGGCTCCTGCACATTTTCCCAGAGTGCATCTGCTCATGGCCCACGCTTGAGCTTTCTCCAGGCCCCAGGGATGACAGTGTGGGAGGCTGGTGGGTGCATGGGGGCTGCCCAGCCATGCGCAGGCTTCTGCTGGGGGATCCAGAGGAGGCACCCGGCTGAGCAGGAGGTGGGAATTGAAACCTACGCAGAGGCGGCTGTGCAGGGTGAGAGTGGAGCCGAAACCACAGAAAGTGAAGTTTCCTTCAACATCTTGTCCCGGCGGGCCACTCAGATGTGAGAGTGAGGAAGTGGGATGGGGCCTGACCGGAAGGAGGTTGGTAAACAGCAAAGAGAGCTGAGTGTAGGCTCAGCTGTGGGCCTGGGTGAGGGCAGGTGGCCGTGGCCCCCAGAGCCGCGGGCACAGGGCTGAGAAGCGAAGGGAAATTGAGCAGCCAGCGCAGGGACCCCACCCACATGGACGGTTCTGCCTGGAGCTGTCACCATCTCCTACTGTTCCCAAGAGTGACAACTCTTCCTGCTCCGTGTTGCCTTCGGACTGAAATCCACCCATCCCACAAGGCTCCACGTGGCCCCTTTCACCTCCCCCTCTCCCCAGCAACATCAGACCCTCCCTCAGTCTCCCTGCAACGTACCCACTTCCTGCTGTTCCTGGAGCTCGCTGAGCACATTCTCACCCCAGGGCCTTTGCCTGTGCTGAGCCCGCTGCCTGATACCTGATAGCTCCTTTCCTGCAGCTTTTTGCGTGGCTTGGACCCTCGCTTTCTTTTTTGGGGGGACACGGTCTTGCTGTGTCATCCAGGCTGGAGTGCAGTGGTGTGATCTCAGCTCACTGCAACCTCCACCTCATGGATTCACACGATTCTCTTGCCTCAGCCTCCCAAGTAGTTGGTTCTACAGGCACCCGCCACCACTCCCGGCTAATTTTGGTATTTTTAGTAGAAACATCAAGTTTCACCATACTGGCCAGGCTGGTCTCGAACTCCTGACCTCAAGCGATCCACTTGCCTCAACCTCCCAAAGTGCTGGGATTACAGGCATGAACCACAGAGCCCGACTCCTTGCTTCCTTTCATTTAGGTCTTTGGCAACATCATCTCCGTGACCCCTCCATGCCCATCCTGTACCCCCTCCTGTTGCATTTTTCTTCCTTGCCTGTCTTATAATCTGATGGTTTTCTTTTTTCTTTTTTTTGAGATACAGTCTCGCCCTGTTGCTCAGGCTGCAGTGCAGTGGTCCGATTTCAGCTCACTGCAACCTCCGCCTCCTGGGTTCAAGTGATTCTCCTGACTCAGCCTCCTGAGTAGCTAGGATTACAGGCGCCCAGCATGACGCCCGGCTATTTTTTGTATTTTTAGTAGAGACAGGGTTTCATCATGTTGGCCAGGCTGGTCTCGAATTCCTGACCTCAGGTGATCCACCTGCCTTGGCCTCCCAAAGTGCTGGGATTACAGGCTTGAGCCACAATGACCAGCTGAGAAAAACATAATTTTGTGTTTTTTTTGAGATGGAGTCTCGCTCTGTCACCCAAGCTGGAGCGCATGGCGCAATCTCGGCTCACTACAAGCTCCGCCTCCCAGGTTCATGCCATTCTCCTGCCTCAGCCTCCCGAGTAGCTGGGACTACAGGCGCCTGCCACCATGCCCGGCTAATTTTTTTACATTTTCAGTAGAGACAGGGTTTCACTGTGTTAGCCAGGATGGTCTCGATCTCCTGACCTCATGATCCGCCCGCCTTGGCCTCCCAGAGTGCTGGGATTACAGGTGTGAGCCACCGCACCTGGCCAAAGCATAAATTTTTTTTTTTTTTTTTGAAACAGAGTCTCGCTGTGTTGCCCAGGCTGGAGTGCAGTGGCTGGATCTCAGCTCACTGCAAGCTCCGCCTCCTGGGTTCACACCATTCTCCTGACTTAGCCTCCCAAGTAGCTGGGACTACAGGCGCCCGCCACCTTGCCCAGCTAGTTTTTTTTGTATTTTTTTAGTAGAGATGGGGTTTCACCATGTTAGCCAGGATGGTCTCGATCTCCTGACCTTGTGATCCGCCCGTCTCGGCCTCCCAAAGTGCTGGGATTACAGGCTTGAGCCACCGTGCCCGGCCAACATAAATTTTTTTTAAAAGAAGAAATGAATCCTGGGGTGTTAGTGAAGATTACATTCAGATATTACTAGAGGCTTAAGCAAAACGGAGGTTTAGCTCTTTCTCTGGAGAGACACTGTTCAGGGCTGGTAAAGCAATGCCACACATTCTTCAGGAACCCTAGCTCCTTCTACATCATTACTTTGCCCTGTCATCAGCTGGATTCTGCCTCATGGCCCAAGGCAGCTGCTTGTGCTCTAGCCATTGTGTCCACATTCCAGCCCTAGCATGAAGAAGCTTCCCAGGATTCACCCAAGACGCTTCTGCTCACTCCTTTTTGGCCAGCCTGGGTTGCACAGCCCCATACAGCAGCAAGGAAGTCTGGAAGATAAGTCTCCACTGGATAGCCATGGGCTCCGTTATGATCAGGGATTCTACTACTGAAGCCAATAGGAGCAATGGACATTGAGGGACACGTGTTCTCTATTCATTGATGAGCTGCCCGCCTGCCTCAGGGGCTCCCTGGGGATCTTGCCATCTGAGGGGCCACACTCTGGGCTTTCCTTCCTCCAGCCTGGAGCCCCTGGCTGCTGGGAATGTTCAGTGTCCTTGAGAGGTCTTCAGGGACCTACCTCACTCCCCAGCCCACGCTAGATCCACAGCTCAGTGCTTGACACTCCCCTCATCAGAAAACCTGTGATGGCTCCATTTGATCACATTTCAGCTTGGAGTGTAGACTGCATGCCCTCCCTCCCTGCCTTCATTCATTCATTCATTCATTCATGCACCCATTTATTCATGCATTCATTCAGCAAACATCAAGGGCTGCTGTGTGCCAGGCACAAAACAGGTGAAGGGGTGGAGACACCCAACTAACCAAACCAGGTCAAATGCTGGAACATAAAGGTCGTGCCCAACCAGTCCAGGGGCACTGGGACGGCTCTCCAAGGGGCTGGTATCTGGTCTCTTCACCTGAGGGGTGAAGCTTGGATGACCACGTGCAGGAGGCAGGAGTAAGAGTTCAGGCACTGGACAAGGCCGAGGGGGTCAAAGGGACATGGGGGCTTCGGGAGCTACAGGGGGCTGAGCAGAGCCAGAGGGCTGTTAGAGCGATGAAGCTGGGGCCTCAGTGGTGCTTTCTCAGAGGGCAGTGGGACAGCTTCGGGAGGTCAGCACTGAGGATTTTGGGGTGCTGGAGATGGGGTCTGGGCCCGAGAAAAGGGACACCGCTGGGTGAGGTGGCTTACACCTGTAATCCCAGCACTTTGGGAGGCTGAGGCGAGAGGATCACCTGAGGTCAGGAGTTTGAGACCAGCCTGGCCAACATGGCGAAACCTCATCTCTACAAAACAAAACAAAACAAAATTAGCCAGAAATCACTTGAACCCAGGAGGTGGAGGTGGCAGTGAGCCAAGATCATGCCACTGCACTCCAGGCTGGGCAACAGAGTGAGACACCGTCTTAAAAAAAAACAAAAAAAGGCCGGGCGCAGTGGCTCAAGTCTATAATTCCAGCACTTCGGGAGGCCAAGGTGGGCGGATCATGAGATCAGGAGATCAAGACCATCCTGGCTAACACGGTGAAACCCCATCTCTACTAAAAATACAAAAAAAAAATTAGGCCGGGCGCGGTGGCTCAAACCTGTAATCCCAGCACTTTGGGAGGCGGAGACGGGCGGATCACGAGGTCAGGAGATCGAGACCATCCTGGCTAACACGGTGAAACCCCGTCTCTACTAAAAAGTACAAAAAACTAGCCGGGTGAGGTGGCGGGCGCCTGTAGTCCCAGCTACTCGGGAGGCTGAGGCAGGAGAATGGCGTAAACCCGGGAGGCGGAGCTTGCAGTGAGCTGAGATCCGGCCACTGCACTCCAGCCCAGGTGACAGAGTGAGATTCTGTCTCAAAAAAAAAAAAAAAAAATTAGCCAGGTGTGGTGGCGGGCGCCTGTAGTCCCAGCTACTCGGAGGCTGAGGCAGGAGAATGGCGTGAAAATTAGCCAGGTGTGGTGGCGGGCGCCTGTAGTCCCAGCTACTCGGGAGGCTGAGGCAGGAGAATGGCGTGAACCTGGGAGGCGGAGCTTGCAGTGAGCCAGGATTGCGCCACTGCACTCCAGCCTGGGCGACAGAGCAAGACTGTCTCAAAAAAAGAACACTTTAGGAGGTCAAGGTGGGCGGATTACGAGGTCAGGAGTTCGAGACCAGCCTGGCCAGCATAATGAAACCCCGTCTCTACTGAAAATACAAAAAACTAGCTGGGTGTGGTGGCGGGCGCCTGTAATCCCAGCTACTCGGGAGGCTGAGGCAGGAGAATCGCTTGAACTCAGGAGGTGGAGGTTGCAGTGAGTCAAGATCACACCGTTGCACTTGAGTCTGGGCGACGGTTCTAGATGCCATCTCAAAAAAAAAAAAAAAGACACCTTTAAGAGACACTTAAGTGAACTGTGCCAGGTGTAGTGAGTCACGCCTGTAATCCTAACATTTTGGGAGGCCGAGGCAGGTGGATCACTTGAGTCCAGAAGTTTGAGACCAGCCTGGGCAGCATAGGCAGACCCCGTGTCTACAAAAAATACAAAAATCAGCCAGGCATGGTGGTGGCGTGTGCCTGTGGGCCCAGCTACTCTAGAGGCTGAGGCGAGAGGGTCGCTTGAGCACAGGAGTTCCAGGCTGCAGCGAGCCATGATCGTGCCACTGCACTCCAGCCTGAGCGACAGAGCAAGACCCTGTCTGTAAAAAAAAAAAAAAAGGAAAAAGAAACGGAGTCCAGGTGATGGACTGGTAGGAGGGACAGTGTTGGGGGCCTGAGGAAGGAATCAAGGATGAAGCTTCAGTGCCCCCCAAGTCTCTGCTCGCCCCTGCCAGACCCCCCCCATCCTCTAAGACCTTGGCATCTGCCCCGTGCCCCAGCACTGACCCCAGAGACAGTCTGGGAGTGCCTGTCCAGCTCTGTCTCCCGGCCTGGGGACACCTAGGAGCTGGGCCAGGGTTGTATCCTCTCTGGGGTCCAGCCTCACCCGGCACAGGGTAGGCACAGTGGTGGGGGTGTGTGTGGCACCAGGAACTAGATGCCCCTTCCCTGCCCATCCCCCTGTTCCAGCCCCTATACACGGTGACTGCTGGCCGGTCCTGCCAGATGTCTGCCCTGCCGCCCTCCTCCAAGATGAGCTATGATTTTTCTTTCTCCCACACCCCACAACCTACCCCCGGGACTGTCCCCGCAGCCTCTACAGAAACCACTGGCTCTGGGCAACACCGGCCCCAAGGGAGTGGGGAGGATGCAGGTGCAGCATGGGGTGGGGCCGGGGTGGGGCCTCTGAACCCACTGCGTCCAAGCCTCTCACCCGCCACCCAGGTGCCCCTGAACTGAGGAACGCAGGCGGTGGTCATAGGGAGGGGAAGGGGAGCCCCAGGAGACGGCAGCAGCATGGGCGGGCGACCCTCGAGCCCTCTGGACAAGCAGCAGCAGCAGCACCTAAGGGGTGAGCAGCCGGGGTGGGGACGGGGTGGGAGTCCGGGTGAGCGGGGGCTCCAGCCATTGGCTCCACATGCTCCATGCAGCAGATGGGGTTGGAGTTCAGACCCAGGACTGTCAAACACACAGGATGCCTTCTTAATGTAAATTTCTCACAGTGAATCTTTTGTTATTGTTGAGGCAGGATCTTGTCTGTTGCCCAAGCTGGAGTGCAGTGATATGATCATGGCTCACTTCAACCTTGGCCTCCTGGGCTCAAGCGATTCTCCCACCTCCACCTCCCAAGTAGCTGGGACCACAGTTATTTTATTTTTTTATTACTATTATATTTTAATAGAGTCAGGGTGTCCCTATGTTGCCCAGTTTGCTTTTGAACTTGTGGGCTTGAGTGATCCTCTCACTTCAGCCCGAATAGCTGGGACCACAGGCGTGCACCACCACATCTGGCTAATTTTTTTATTTTTGTTTTTGTAGAAACAGGGTCTCACTATGTTGCCCAGGCTGGTCTTGAACTCCTGAGCTCAAGCGATCCTCTCACATCAACCTCCCAAAATGCTGGGATTACAGGCAAGAGCCACTGTGCCTGGCCTGCATCTTATTTTTAGTATAAGTATATCCCAAATTTTGCATAGTGCACACTTATGCTGAGAACCAATTACCCCTTTATCTTTTTTTTTTTTTTTTTTTGAGACGGAGTCCCCCTCTGTTGCCCAGGCTAGAGTGCAGTGGTGCAATCTTGGCTCACTGCAACCTCCACCTCCAGGATTCAAGCGATTCTCCTGCTTCAGCCTCCCAAGTAGCTGGTATTACAAGCATGTGCCACCACGCCTGACTAATTTTTGTATTTTTAGTAGAGATGGGGTTTCACCATGTTGACCAGGTTGGTCTCGAACTCCTGACCTCAGGTGATCTGCCCACCTCAGCCTCCCAAAGTGCTGAGATTACAGGTGTGAGCCACTGTGCCCAGCCTGTGTCTCCTATTTTTATTTGGTAAATCTGGTGACCTGATTTAGGGCAGAGGTTCAGGTGGGAAGCAAGGGGCCAAGTGGAAGGTGTCCCAGACCCAGCCAGGCCCTGAGTGATGTCTTCCTGAGTGGGCAGGGACCAGCAGGCCCCTCAGCAGGACCCTGGGGATGGAGGCTCAGTTCCCAATTTGAGACTAAGAGGGGCCAGTGCCAGATTCAGTGCCATTCAGGTCCCTCTGTCCTCATATGAGGGGTGACCACCTGTGCTGGGCGCTGGGGACATTGTGGGGTTGGTGTTGTCCTTACCCTGGCAGGCTCATGGTCTAAACACCTTCCATCTCATGGCTCTGCTATGTGGGGCTTCTGTGCCCAAGGTGACCTCATGGCACAGAACAGCTGCTGGAGCTCCAACCATTGGGTCTACATTCTATGCAGCAGCTTGGAACAGTGGTTTTTTTTGGTTTTGGGTCAAGTCATGACCCAAAATTGTGTGGTGAGAATGATGGGAGAGAGCTCACATGTTCCTCGAGTGTGGGGAAGAGCAGAGGTGGGGGACTGCCCACCGAGGAGACAACGGTCAAGTCGGGGCTGGAGGGATGTGATGGCGTTGGTAGGAAGGAGATGCTAGAAGAGCATTTTGGACAGGAGAAACAGCAAGTGATGTATCTTGCAAAGAAACAATTCACATTCACACCCTGGTCATTCCCTCATTTGCTGTGTGCCCTTTGGTAAGTGACTGCACCTCCCTGGGCTTCATTCTCTTATATGTAAAATGGAGATAGCAACAATACCTAGCTCATGGGGGCATTGTAAGGATTCAAAGAGTTACTCTATGTAGCACTGGGAATTTTTTTTTTTTCCCCTGATAGTGGCTTAAACAAGATAAGGACTTTTTTTTTTTTCCCTCAAACTGAGAGGTGTGGAGGCAGGCAGGCTAGTAAAAGACACCTGAAGTCCTTCCAGCTCATGGCTCTGCCATGTGTGGATTCCTGTGTCCGAGATAGCCTCATGGCACAGAATGGCTGCTGGAGCTCCAGCCATTGGGTCCACATTCCGGGCAGCAGAATGGAAGTATGTTTTATGTACAGTCAAGTGTACATGCCTTAGGACAACAGCTCAAAGAGCTAGTCACCCATGTGACGACTTCCTAGATAGATCAGGATACAGGACACCTCCATCACTCACAGAGTGTTCCCCTGTGTGCTTTGGAACTTTAAAAGCTTTTGAAAAGCTCCCCGGGTAAAGCATATGGGGCCACTTTTGGGTGTGATGGATCTGCTCATTATCTTGATTGTGGTGAGGGTTTCACGGATGTGTGATTGTGTCAAAGCTCAGCAAACCATATGCTTACATGGTACATGAGCTCTAAGTGAAGGTATGGCTCAACCTGTATTCCCAGCACTTTGAGAATCCAAGGTGGGAGGATCACTTGAGGCCAGGAGTTTGAGACCAGCCTGGATAACACAGCAAGACCTTGTCTCTACAAAAATTAAAAAAAAAATTAGCTGGTCATGGTGGCATGTGCACAAGATCCCAGCTACTGGAGTAGGGCTGAGGTGGGAGGATCACTTGAGCCCAGGAGGTCAAGGCTGCAGTGAGCTGAGATTGCAACACAGCACTCCAGCCTGGGGGACAGAGACCCTGTCTCAAAAAAAAGGACAAGACAAGCGAAGGAGCCAGGAGTTCAAGACCAGCCTGAGCAACATGGTGAAACCTTGTCTCTACTAAAAATAGAAAAATTAGTCAGGCGTGGTGGTGGGCACCTGTAGTCTCTGTAGTCCCAGCTACTTGGGAGGCTGAGATGGGAGAATCACCTGAGCCCAGGAAGTGGAGGTTGCAGTGAGCTGTGTTAGTGCCACTGCACTCCAGCCTGACAACAGAGTGAGACTGTATCAAAACAACAACAACAAGAAAACCATCTCTACTAAAAATACAAAAATTAGCTGGGCGTGGTGGCGGGCGCCTGTAGTCCCAGCTACTTGGGAGGCTGAGGCAGGAGAATTGCTTGAACCTGGGAGGCAGAGGTTGCAGTGAGCCGAGATCGTGTCACTGCACTCCAGCCTGGCAACAGAGCAAGACTCCATCTCAAAAATAAAATAAAATAAAATAAAAATAAAGAAGCTCCCTCATCCAGCCACATGGATGGAAAGAGGCACGGCGGGTGAAGGGTGAATGGAATTTGGTGACAACTTGTCCGGCAGCTCAGGATGACTGAAGGAGACCCCAGGTGGCTTCCCTGTCTGTTTTGCCCTCCCCAAGCAGGTCTCCTGGGCAGATTCAATTTGCTGGGTTCACTGTCTCCTTGTCCCTGCAGGTCAGGTGGACACCCTGATGAGGAACTTCCTGCCCTGCTACCGCGGGCAGCTGGCAGCGTCTATCCTGCGGCAGATCTCCCGAGAGCTGGGCCCTCAGGAGCCGGCTGGAAGCCAGTTGCTACGCAGCAAAGTGGGTGTTGGAGGGGCGGAGGACATTTGAGTGTGGGGAGAGGGTCCTGGAGGAGCCCTCCCTAGGCCATGCTTCCAACCTCAGACCTTTGCTATTGCCATAGGGTGACTTTAAATATTCATTGTTTGAATAAACATTCACTGAGAAGCCAGGTGCAGTGGCTCACGTCTGTGATTTCAGCACTTTGGGAGGCCGAGGCAGGCGGATCACCAGAGGTCAGGAGTTCAAGACCAGCCTGGCCAACATGGTGAAACCCCAAAACCCCATCTCTACTAAAAATACCAAAAAAAAAAAAAAAAAAAAATTAGCCAGACCCTGTGGCATGCACCTGTAATCCCAGCTACTCGGGAGGCTGAGGCAGGAGAATTGTTTGAACCTGGGAGGTGGAGGTTGCAGTGAGCCCAGATTGCACCACTGCACTCCAGCCTGGGTGACAGAGCTAGACTCTGTCAAAACACACACACACACACACACACACACACACACACACACAAAACCATTCACTGAGCGTGTAATTCATGCCACATCATGGGCTGGGCATGAGGACACACAGCCCTTCTCCAGTGACAAGGATAGATCCTGCCGTAACCTCTGGGGTTCACAATCTGATGGGAGATAGAAGACTCCAAACAAATTAGCATATCATGATGTGGAATGGAGTAACTTTTTTTTTTTTTTAGATTGAGTTTTCCTTTGTTGCCCAGGCTGGAGTGCAGTGGCCATCTTAGCCATCTTAGCTCATTGCCACCTCCACCTCCCAGGTTCAAGCGATTCTTGTGCCTCAGCCTCCCGAGTAGCTGGGACCACAGGCGCCCGCCACCACGCCTGGGTAATATTTGTATTTTTAGTAGAGATAGGGTTTCACCATGTTGACCAGGCTGGTCTCAAACTCCTGAACTCAAGTGATCTCCCCACCTCAGCCTCCCAAAGTGCTGGGATTACAAGCGTGAGCCACTGCACCTGGCCTCCAGACGTCTCCAGAGCCATGAAGTTGCGTGCCCCACACAACTCACTCAGTGTTCACCCTCTTGGTAGACGGGTCTTTGACCGATGAGGAAACTAAGGCACAGAGAGGCCAAATGGCCTGCCCGAGGTCACACTGCAGAGGTGTGATTTGAACCTGGGATCCATGCTTATTACTAATGCTTGGTCCCACGCTCCAATCCGGGCTGAGATTTTTTGCCTCTTTGGAACGTCCCACCTCCCAGCTGTGCCACCCAGGGCGGGGGGCTCCAGGAGCTGTGGACACAGAGCCCCTTCCCGCCTGGGACTGTCCCTGTCCAGTCTGGGGCATCACGGGGCCTGAGCATCATCCCAGGATATAACGGGAGTTGTCTGGGTGGTCGGGCCACAGGGACATCAGCCCACAGCCCCCTGACACCCACTGGTCCCTCCTCCTGCAGAAGCTGCCCCGAGTCCGTGAGCACCGAGGACCCCTGACCCAGCTTCGGGGCCACCCACCCCGGTGGCAGCCGATCTTCTGTGTTCTGCGTGGGGACGGCCGCCTGGAGTGGTTCAGCCACAAGGAGGTGTGTGATTGGCACGTGGTCTTTCTGCTTCTGGGTCCTTCCTTCCCACTCCCACCAGCCTCTAGGTTTGTGGGGTCCATCTCTCAGCATAGCGCCACCTCTATCAATCACCCAGGATGAATCTTGGGCCCCTATGTGTCTGGCCTGTCATAGGCAACCATCTCGTCCCATCCCCTGCTGTGCTGCGTAGGTAAACTGAGACCCAGTCCAGGGATAGGATCGTGGTCAGTATCAGAGCTGTGGTTTCAACCTCTTGGAGCCTTTGCAAGTCATGCCTCCGACCGCTCTGTTTTCTGGCTGGGGTGCTTGGAGCGATCACTACCTTTCTGAAACTCAGTTTTTACTTCTGTGAAATGGGATGATGATGTTTCACACCACGTAGGGCTTTGAGGTTTCAACAAGAGGGTCCTCAGACAGCACTTGGGACTGGCCCGGCACATGGGGAGTCAGTGGGTGCTGGGAACTCAGGGATTGAGGGAGGAAGGGAGGGAAAAGGGAAAGGGGAAAGGGAAGGAGGGAGAGAGAGGGCAGGAACAGGAGGAAAGAAGGGAAGCAGGGAGGAAGGGAGGAAGTTATGGGGACAGAGGGAGGATGGATGGAGAGAGGAGGGAAAAAAAGGGAGGGAGAGCCGGGCCTGGTGGCTTATGCCTGTAGTACCAGCCCTGTGGGAGGCTGAGGCGAATGGATCCCTTCAGTCCAGGAGCTCAAGATCAGCCTGACCAACATGGTGAAACTCCATCTTTACTAAAAATACAAAACCTAGGGCGGGCACGGTGGCTCATGCCTATAATCCCAAAACTTTGGGAGGTCAAGGCGGGGTGGATCACCTGAGGTCAGGAGTTCAAAACCAGCCTGGCCAACATGGCCAAACTCCATCTCAATTAAAAATATAAAAATTAGCCTGGTGTGGTGACAGGTGCCTGTAATCCCAGCTACTTGGGAGGCTGAGGCAGGAGAATCACTTGAACCCAGGAGGCGGAGGTTGCAGTGAGCCGAGATCATGCCACTGCACTCCAGCCTGGGCAGCAGAGCGAGACTCTATCTCAAAAACAAAAAAAAAAAGACAGAGGGAGGAATGGAGGAAAGGAGAGGGAGGGAGGAGTGGGGAGGGGCAGAGGATTTTTCAGCTCATCTGAAATCTTCCCTTGATAGTACAGTTGGGACACAGAAGCCACCGTTCAGACCTGTCCCATGTTGGTTCTCTGGGTGCCTTTTGTAGGAATATGAAAACGGGGGTCACCCCCTTGGCTCCACAGCCCTGACGGGATACACACTCCTGACTTCCCAGCGAGAATATCTCCGCCTTTTAGACGCTCTCTGCCCGGACTCCTTGGGTAAGAGTCCCGGGGTTCCCAGAAACAGGTTTCTCCACCCCAGGATCATTAACATGGGGGCCAGATCACTCTCTGCGGTGGGAGCGTCCCGTGTACAGCAGGGCGTTAAGCAGCATCCCTGGCTTCCACCCACTCCATGCCAGCAGCAGCCCCCACCCTGGGTGTGACAACCACCAATGGCTCCAGCATTGCCAAGTGTCTCCTGGGGGTCAGCGTTGCCCCGGATGAGCATCCCCGCTTTGGAAAACAAACAAACAAACAAACAAACAAACAAACAAACAAACACTCTTGCAAGGGTGAGAGGGAGAGTTAGGTCATGGGACCAGAATCAAAATAGCAAATGATAAAAACAGGCAAATCTGGGATGGGTGCAGTGTCTCATGCCTGTAGTCCCAGCTACTTGGGAGGCTGAGGTGGGAGGATCGCTTAAGCCTGGGAAGTGGAGGTGGCAGTGAGCCGAGATTGTCCCACTGCACTCCAGCTTGGGCAATAGAGTGAAACCCCACCTCCAAAAACAACAACAAAAACAATTAAAAACGGCCGGGCGCGGTGGCTCATGCCTGTAATCCCAGAACTTTGGCAGGCCGAGGCGGGCGGATCACAAGGTCAGGGGATCGAGACCATCCTGGCTAACACGGTGAAACCCTGTCTCTACTAAAAATACAAAAACTTAGCTGGGTGTGGTGGCGGGCACCTGTAGTCCTAGCTACTCAGGAGGCTGAGGCAGGAGAATGGCGTGAACCCAGGAGGCGGAGCTTGCAGTGAGCTGAGATCGTGCCACTGCACTCCAGCCTGGGCAACAAAGCGAGACTCCGTCTCAAAAAAAAAAAAAACAATTAAAAACAATAGGCTGGGCACAGTGGCTCATGCCTGTAATCCCACCACTTTGGGAGGCCGAGGCAGGTGAATCACTTGAGGTCAGGAGTTCAAGACTAGCCTGGCCAACATGGTGAAACCTCGTCTCCACTAAAAATACAAAAAGTAGCCAGTGTAATGACATGCACCTGTAATCTGAGCACTTTGGGGGACCAAGGAAGGTGGATCACTTGAGGTCACGAGGAGACCTCATGAGGCCAGCCTGACCAACATGGTGAAACCCTTGTCTCTACTAAAAATACAAAAGGTAGCCAGGTATGGTGGCGTGAGACTGTAATCCCAGCTACTCGGGAGGCTGAGGCAGGAGAATCGCTTGAACCTAGGAGGCAGAGGTTGCAGTGAGTCCAGATCGCACCACTGCACTCCAGCCTGGGAGACAAAGTGAGACTCTGTCTCAAAAAAATGAAAGGAAAGGAAAGGAAGGGGAGGGGAGGGGAAGGGAGGGGAGGGGAGGGGAAGGGAGGGGAAAGGAGGGATTAGAGAAGGAATGATTCCAGGCATGTGCCTGGCAAGTACTCAGCACTGGGCTTGCACTATCTCATAATGTCTGCCCAGCAGGCGAACCCCATCGCTAACTACCCCATTTCACAGATAAGGACATTGAGGCTGAGGATTGTCACACGGTCAGTCAAGAGCAGAGCTAGAATCGCACCCTCTGCTTCACCTAAAAGCTATCTTGCTGTCAAAGGACACAAAGATGTAGTCTGCTGAGATGTTGATGCTGCTCAAAACATCAGAATCTGCCCAAATACCCATCTCTTGAGGGTTGATTAAATAAATTATGGCCTGGCCCTTGGTAATGAAGAGTGAACTGGCTGCGGTGGCATGTGCCTGTAGTCCCAGGTACTTGGGAGGCGGAGACAGGAGGATTCCCTGAGGCCAGGAGTTCTAGATCAGCCTGGGTAACATACTGAGACCCCCCCCATCTCCACAAACATTTTAAAAAATAAAATTAGCTAGGTGTGGTGGCACGTGCCTGTAGTCCCAGCTATTCAGAAGGCAGAGGTGGGAAGATCACTTGAGCCCACGAGTTAGGGGCTACTGTGAGCTATGATCACACCACTAACTTCAGCAGCCTGGGCAACAAAGCCAGGCCCTGTCTCTATTTAATAAATAAATAAATAAATGAATAAATAAATAAATAAATAAATAAATAAATGCCCGGGTGTGGTGGCTCATGCCTGTAATCCCAGTACTTTGGGAGGCCAAGGTGGGCGGATCACCTGAGGTCCCAGCCTGGCCAACAGGGCAAAACCCCATCTCTACTAAAAATACAAAAATTAGCCGAGCGTGGTGGTGCATGCCTATAATCCCAGCTACTCGGGTGTCTAAGACAGGAGAATTGCTTGAACCTGGGAGGCAGAGGTTATAGTGAGCCAAGATCGCACCACTGCACTCCAGCATGGGAGACAGAGCAAGACTCTGTCAAAAAAAAAAAAAAAAAAAAAAAGCCAGGTGGCTCACACTTGCAATCCCAGCACTTTGAGAGGCCAAAGTGGGAGGATCACTTGAGCCTAGGAGTTTGAGGCCACTGTGAGCTATGATCACATCACTGCACTCCAGCCTGGGTGACAGAGGGAGACTCCATCTCTAAAATGAAAATAAATTAAAATTTAAAAACAATAAATAAAAGAAAGCAAAACTTAGCCACTGAAAGTGTCCCAAATGTATCAAGGAGCGAAGTGGCCAGTTCCAAGACAGAAAAACCCATCTTGTCACAGATATGCACCTCACTCAGTTTCGTGCAGATTTTATTTATTTATTTATTTATTTATTTATTTATTTATATTTTATTTTATTTTATTTTATTTTATTTTATTTTGAGACGGAGTCTTGCTCTGTCGCCCAGGCTGGAGTGCAGTGGCATGATCTCGGCTCACCACAAGCTCTGCCTCCCGGGTTCACGCCATTCTCCTGCCTCAGCCTCCCGAGTAGCTGGAGTACAGGTGCCTACCACCACGCCCAGCTAGTTTTTTGTATTTTTTTTAGTAGAGACGGCGCTTCACCGTGTTAGCCAGGATGGTCTGGAGCTCCTGCCTTGTGCAGATTTTAGAATCTGGAGAAATGTCCCCTAAACTATTAACAGTCATTATCGTCTCTGGGGGCTGAGGCTCGAAGGCTGAGATGACCAGGAGCTTCCACCTTCTGGATTATTGATTTTCTTTTCATTTCTTTTCTTTTCCTTTCTTTTCTTTTCTTCTTCTTCTTCTTTTTTTTTTTCTTTTTTCTTTTTTTTGAGACAGAGTCTTGCTTTGTCACCCAGGCTGGAGTGCAGTGGTGTGATCTCTGCTCACTGCAACCTCCCCCTCCCAGGCTCAAGCGATTCTCCTGCCTCAGCCTCCTGAGTAGCTGAGACTATAGGCACCCACCACCACACCCTGCTAATTCTTGTGTTTTAGTAGAGACAGGGTTTCACCATGTTGGCCAGGCTGGTCTCGAACTCCCGACCTCAAGTGATCCACCTGCCTCAGGCTCCCAAAGTGCTGGGATTACAGGCAGGAGCCACCTCGCCTGGCCTGTATTGTTGGGTTTTATCACAGTCTGTGTATATCATCCTGGAAAGTGGAACAAAACACTGGAGACTTAGGAGACCCTAAATATTTCTTTTCATTTATTTATATTTTTAATAAAAAATACCTGTGCAGGCTGGTTTGGAACTCCTGGGCCCAAGGGATCCTCCCACTTCGGCCTCCCAAGGTGCTGGGATTACAGGCATGAGCTACTGCAGCTGGCCCCCAAATAAATTAACCAAAGCTGAATTCACTTATTTTGTCTCGTCAATAATTCTAGGTCATCGGTATCACTGTTAACCCCATTTGGGCAGGAAAATCACAGCTCATGGAAACGTGTGCCCTAGTCGTAGAGCTAGAAAGTAGCTTGGCCAGGCTGGGCACAGTGGCTCACACCTGTAATCCCTGCACTTTGGGAGGCTGAGGCGGGCAGATTGCTTGAGCTCAGGAGTTCTAGACCAGTCTGGGTGACGTAGTGAGACCCTGTCCCTTTTGTTAAAAAAAATAAAGAAAATGAAAGTAGTTTGGTCAGGTTGGAACTCGGGCCTGACTGACTCCAAAACCCCACTTAAAGTTGGGCTCAGGCCAGGCGCGGTGGCTCAAGCCTGTAATCCCAGCACTTTGGGAGGCGGAGACGGGCGGATCACGAGGTCAGGAGATCGAGACCATCCTGGCTAACACGGTGAAACCCCATCTCTACTAAAAAATACAAAAAACTAGCTGGGCGAGGTGGCGGGCGCCTGTAGTCCCAGCTACTCGGGAGGCTGAGGCAGGAGAATGGCATCAACCCAGGAGGCGGAGCTTGCAGTGAGCTGAGATCTGGCCACTGCACTCCAGCCTGGGCGACAGAGCGAGACTCCATCTCAAAAAAAAAAAAAAAAGAATGCTGAGGCTGGAAAACAATGCTGGGATGGATTGGTGATGTCTGCCTTGGGCATACAATGGAAGAAGGTGACCTGCTTCCCCGAAAACTGTGCCCCCCTCAGTGCTGTTGGAATAAGGACGGGGGCAAGTATCATGGTGCGGCTCCTATTTATCAAGCAACTGCCCATGCCAGGGACAGTTGTATGCATTTCAGAGGTATTTTCTCCTAGTGAATGAACATCTAGAAGATGAGACCTCCTGTTTGTTTTCAGGAGACCATACTCAGGAAGAGCCTGACTCCCTCTTGGAAGTGCCTGTGAGCTTCCCGCTGTTCCTGCAGCACCCCTTCCGCCAGCACCTCTGCTTCTCTGCAGCCACCAGGGAGGCACAGCATGCCTGGAGGCTGGCCCTGCAGGGTGGCATCCGGCTTCGGGGCACAGGTGGGTCTCAAGACGGGTCAGACATTTGTGAGGCTAATGGTCTGGGGTCAGAGAGCTCAGCCTCTGTTGGCTTGGGACTTCTTCAGGCCTCACTTTCCTTACCCAGAAAATGGATTGTTAGGCCAGGTGTGGTGGTTCATGCCTGTAATTCTAGCACTTTGGGAGGCCGAGGCAGGCAGATCACCCGATGTCAGGAGTTCTAGACAAGCCTGGACAACATGGTGAAATCCTGTCTCTACTAAAAATACAAAAATTAGCTGGGCATGGTGGAAGGCACCTGTAATCCCAGCCACCTGGGAGGCTGAGGCAGGAGAATCACTTGAACCTGGGAGGTGGAGGCTGCAGTGAGCCAAGATTGCGCCAGTGCACTCCAGCCTGGGTGACAAGAGCAAAACTCCATCACACACACACACACACACAGAGAGAGAGAGAGAGAGAGAGAGAGAGAGAGAGAGAGAGAGAGAGAGAGAGAGAGAAAAGAAAATGGGTTGTTGGGGGAGCCGGAAGGAACACCAGGCAGTTGTGAGTGACTAGGGCTGTAACAGAGACACACAGGGTTCTATGGGAGTTCAGTCTGGGGGATGGGGGTTAGAGCAGGCTTCCCAGATGAGGGGAAGTTGGGGTCTGTAAAAGATGAGGGGCCAGCCGCCGGGCATGGTGGCTCATGCCTGTAATCCCAGCACTTTGGGAGGCTGAGGCGGGACTATCACAAGGTCAAGAGATCGAGACCATCCTGGCTAACACGGTGAAACTCCGTCTCTACTAAAAATACAAAAAATTAGCCAGGTGTGCTGGCGGGTGCCTGTAGTCCCAGCTACTCGGGAGGCTGAGGCAGGAGAATGGCGTGAACCTGGGAGGCGGAGAGCTTGTAGTGAGCCGAGATTGCGCCACTGCACTCCAGCCTGGGCGACAGAGCAGGCGGGAGCTCTGTCTCAAAAAAAAAAAAAAAAAAAAAAAAAAAAGATATGAAGCGCGGCCAGCCAGGTGAGGCGAGGAATAGGTCATGGGCGACAGAGCGAGACTCTGTCTCAAAAAAAAAAAAAAAAAAAAAAAAAAGATGAAGGGCCAGCCAAGTGAAGACGGGGAATAGGTCAGGCATAGTGGCTCACGCCTGTAATCCCAACTTCCAACTTGACACTAAGAGTTCAAGACCAGCCTAGGCAACATGGCAAAACTCCATCTCTACAAAAAATACAAAAATTATCTGGGCTTGGTGGTATGCAGTTGTGGTCTCAGCTTCTCAGGAGGCTAAGGTGAGAGGATCACTTGAGCCTAGGACTTGGAGGCTGCAGTGAGCTATGATCATGCTACTGCACTTCAGCCTGAGCAACAGAGAGACCCCCCATTTGAGAGAGAGAGAGAGAAGAAAAGAAAGAAAAAGAAATGAAGGAAGGAAAAAGAAAAGAAAGAGAAGGAAAAGAAAGAAAGAGAGAGAGGAAGGAAGGAAGAGAGGAAAGGAAAGAGAAAAAAGTAGGGGAGCAGCAGGACTGACACACACAGTTGGGCAGGTTGTTGACCTCACAAACGATGCAACTAGAGGAGCAGCTAGTGGCTGCAGTATGTATGGCCTGAACTGCAGGTCAAGGGACTGTGGCTGCCAGTAGAGGATTCCTTCTAAGTTGAATAAAGTTGGTGGTCCTGGGGGAATGTGTTCCCTGTGGACGGCACTACCTAAGCAAAGTTCCAGAGATGGGTAAGACTTGGGTGTTGGGGACCTGGCCAGGTGGAGGGCTTCCTCCCCGGGCCATGGGGAGCCAGGCAGGGGAGCCAGGCAGGGGAGCCACCAGCAGGCACTGAGGAGCAGCCCCGCTCAGTCCTGCAGCGAAGCCAGGCCCCCGCTGCCCGGGCCTTCCTGGACGCCGTCCGACTCTACCGGCAGCACCAAGGCCACTTTGGCGACGACGACGTGACCCTAGGCTCAGACGCCGAGGTTAGTGCCCCGCGAGGCCGCACCCAGGACCCCCAGGCCCCCTCCCGGCCGAACGCGGCGCCCATGGCCCCTTCTCCCGCAGGTGCTGACCGCGGTGCTGATGCGGGAGCAACTTCCCGCGCTGCGAGCCCAGACCCTTCCTGGCCTGCGGGGGTCAGGCCGCGCCCGTGCCTGGGCCTGGACCGAGGTTTGCCCTGCGTCCGGACCCGGGACAGGGGGCGGGATCCGGGCGCTCGGGTTCCCCTCCCACGACTGTCGCCTAAACTCTCTTCTGGTCTCTTTGACCCCCATCCCCGCCCCGTGTCTCGGCTCTGTCCTGCACTCCTGTCCTGCGTGGGGTCCTCTCGACTGGTCTGGGCAGCTTCTAGACGCCATTCACGGAGCTGTCCTGGCCGGGGCCTCTGCCGGGCTCCGCGCCTTCCAGCCGGAAAAGGACGAGCTGCTTGCATGCCTGGAGAAGACGATCCGCCCGGACGTGGACCAGCTACTGAGGCAGCGGGCGCGTGTGGCTGGGCGACTGCGGAGTGAGACCCGGGGGCGGGACCTGGGCTGGGAGGGGCGAGGCAATACTGGGGAAAAAGGGGCGTGACCTAAGCGAATAAAGGGCTAGGCCTTGTGAGAAATAAGGGGCGTGGTCAGAGAGGAGCGGGGCCAAGCATAGGATGTGGAAGGGAAAGGGTGGGGAAGGGGCGGGACCTAGGCGAGACAGTGGGCGTGGTCTTGTGGGCGAGGCGCTGGGGGCGGGGCCTAGAGTCTGTCCCGAGGACCCCAGGTCCTGAGGGGGCTGCGTGGATACAAAAAGGGAGGGGCCTCAGCAGGGGATAGGCGTGGCCTTGAGGCTGAGGCTGCCGGAGTTGAGGCCCTAAGCCGGGCCAAAGCGAGTGGGCTGGCCTGGGAAGTAGAACAGCGGAGGAGGGGCGGGGGTAAAGGCTGATACATGGGCAGAGTGGGACAAGGTGGCCCCTACAAAGACCCAGGTGGGAATCCTGACTCGGCCCACCTCTCCGAGGCTGTTTTCTCATCATCACAAAGGGTAGAAGAGGGCGCTCAGCGTCCCTGCTCGCGTCCCCCTCGCCCTACTGAACTAGGGCCCCTGCACATCCCCATCTGTGAGGCACCTTGCGGAGGGGACTCCAGACCAGTGTCTTCCACTCCCAGCGGATATCAGGGGACCGCTCGAGTCGTGCCTGCGCCGAGAGGTGGACCCGCAGCTGCCCCGGGTCGTGCAGACCCTGCTGCGCACCGTGGAAGCCTCGCTCGAGGCGGTGCGGACCCTCCTGACTCAAGGCATGGACCGACTGTCCCGCCGCCTGCGCCAGAGCCCCTCGGGCACGCGGCTGCGCAGGGAGGTGAGCTCTCGTGTGTAGGGGTTCAGTGAGCCAGAGGGTGATGTGTTAATTTGAGTCTTTCCTGTTGAAAATCTTCTCTGAATTTGTTCTAGGCTGCTTTTTACTTATTGTGGACCCATCACCATGCTATGGTCACTGGAGCACAGTTGTTTGTTTTTTGTTTTTGAGACAGGGTGTCGCTCTATCACCTTGGCTGGAGTGCAGTGGCACAATCTTAGCTCACTGCAGCCTTGACCTCCCGGGCTTAATCGATTCTCTTACCTTAGCCTCCCAAGTAGCTGGAAATACAGGTGCACGCCACTATGCCCAGCTAATTTTTTAATTCTTTTGTAGAGATGGGGGTCTTGCTTTGTTGCCCAGGCTGGGCTCAAACGATCTGCCTGTCTTGGCCTCCCAAAGTGCTGGGATTAAGGCGTGAGCCACAGCACTGGCCGTGGAGCACAGTTTAAAACGTGAGGCGAAAGGAGTTGGATGAGAAGAGTGGCAATTTAGCAAAATCAGACTGAGGTCATCCCCCCAAACTCCTCCTCCCATTCCCCTGCAGGGCAACAACCCAGAGAATTCTCTTCAAGGCAGGTCACCTCAGTGCATCTGATATACATGTAGCGCCTAAAATACATACATACATACATATATACATACTGTAGCACCTACGATGTGCCAGGCAACCTTCAACTCATTCTTTTTTTTTTTGAGACGGAGTCTCGCTCTGTCACCCAGGCTGGAGTGCAGTGGCCGAATCTCAGCTCACTGCAAGCTCCACCTCCCGGGTTTACACCATTCTCCTGCCTCAGCCTCCCGAGTAGCTGGGACTACAGGCGCCCGCCACCTCGCCTGGCTAGTTTTTTTGTATTTTTTTAGTAGAGACGGGGTTTCATCGTATTAGCCAGGATAGTCTCGATCTCCCGACCTCGTGATCCGCCCGTCTCGGCCTCCCAAAGTGCTGGGATTACAGGCTTGAGCCACCGCGCCCGGCCTTCAACTCATTCTTAAGCCTCCATTTCCTAATCACCTTCTCCAGAAACTGTCCCTGGTCCCCTCTATGTCTTATAGTAGCCTGTGCTTCTCTTATCACAGCCTCACTTTCATACCACTGTGGGTGATTTCTATACTCTGTCTCCCCCAATTTGTAAACAGAGACTGGGTTAGAGTATTCCATATCTGCAGCCCCAGGGTCCAGCACAGAGAGAACATAAGGTGGTATTCATAGATCCAGGGCCAGGAAATGTGCTCATTTCCTCTCAATTGTGCCAGCATCGCTTGTTATAGTTTTTTTAGGTTTTATCATTTTATGTCCATGACACCATGCCTCACTGCAACTTATTTTACTTTATTTTATTTTATTTTAGAGACAGAGTCTCATTCTGTCACCCAGGCTGAAGTGCAGTGGTGTGATCTTGGCTCACTGCAACCTCCCGGGTTCAAGCGATTCTCATGCCTCAGCCTCCTGAGTAGCTGGGAGTACAGGTGTACGCCACCACACCTGGCTAATTTTTGTATTTTCAGTAGAAACGGGGTTTCACCATGTTGGCCAGGCTGGTATCGAACTCCTGACCTCAAGTGATCCACCTGCCTCGGCCTCCCAAAGTGATGGGATTACAGGTATGAGCCACCACGCCTGGCCCACCGCTACTTTATTATGAGTTTCTTTGAGGCAGGATGTGTTTTCATTTGTATTTCTCCTTTGGTGAATTGGCTATGGGGTCCTTGGCCCTTTGCAATCAGCGGACGGCATTTTCCTCCCAAAACTGCTTCCGGGAGCACAGGTTTACTCATTTGGAGAGATGCCATGGGACTTGGCACTGATGCAGACATGCTACCGTGAGGCCGAACGGAGCCATGGGCGCTTGGGGCAGCTGGCAGCACCGTTTGGCTTTCTGGGGATGCAGAGCCTCGTGTTTGGGGCCCAAGATCTTGCACAGCAGGTGAGCGTGAGCAGGAGGCTGGGAGGAGACCAGGCTGTGAAGACAGCCTCCACTGAACCCCCGCTAAGTGTGTCCTGGAGAGACCACAATGATGGAGACAACTTGGTGGGGCTGCCAGTCTCATGGGGACATGAGCCCGTGACCAGGTAGCAGCCACATGTGGTGGACAGAGCTGGGGCGGGATGTACAGGGAGAGCCAAGGACATTCTTGATCCATCTCTGGGGTTGACAGGACTTTCAGGAGGAGGGGACTTCCAACATGGGACAGCAGTGGGAGGAATGGGGCTGCCACCAGTCCCAAGTGAATAGTGTTGAGAGCACTTGTCTGCATTTGGAGAACGTGGAGCAATTTTTCAGAAATGGGGAAGATAGGCCGACGAGATGGATGGGCAGATGGCACAGTGCCTTGAGTGTGGGGCTAAGGGGTGAGCTCTTTCCTGACGGCAATGGGGAGCCATTGCCAGAGCAGGTATATGAGCAGGGGGAGGGCATGGCTGGATTTAAGGTTTAGGAAGCTCTGCTTGCCGTAGGGAGCACAGGCTGTTGGGGGCAGGAATAGAGGAGGCAGGGGGGAGGCCTGCACCAGGATGGGGGATGTCAGTGGGGAGAAGCAAGAAGTGTTTTGAAGTCTGAGGTGGGACCTGCTATTGGACATGGTGACAGAAGAAGACAGAGAGTGAGATGATCTAGTACCACCTGGCACAGTTGTTCAGTTTGTGCACTGCACAAAAGTGCTCAACAGAGGAGGTTGAACTCTGGCTAGCTCTCTGGTCTCCATTCTAGGCACCCTGGCACCATCCCCCAGAGGGAGGGGGCTTTTTGCCAGTTTGCACATACTCCCCCACAGACTAGACAATCCCCAGGTCCTGAGAGGAGGGGAAAGGTGTTTCCTGGGACAAGGAGGAGGAGGTTGGGCAGAGGTGGCTGGTTGGGGCAGGCTGGATGCTGAGAAGGGGTCAGCTGGGCTGGAGTGGGACCCAGGAGGCTGGACCACAGATTCTGGGGTCATCACGGCATCTCCTCCTACAGCTCATAGCTGACGCTGTGGCCACCTTCCTGCAGCTGGCTGACCAGTGTCTGACCATGGCCCTCAACTGTGACCAGGCTGCCCAGAGGCTGGAGAGAGTCAGGGGGCGCGTGCTGAAGGTGTGATCTGTGGGTACGGGGTGGCACGGGGTGGCAGTGGGCCTGGGTGCTCAGATGGTTGAACACTGAACAGAGGCGCCGCTGGGTATGTTGTGCAGAAATTCGAATCGGACAGCGGGCTGGCGCAGAGGAGGTTCATCCGAGGCTGGGGTCTCTGCATCTTTTTACCTTTTGTGCTGAGCCAACTCGAGCCAAGCTGCAAAAAGGTGAGTTAATGGGAAGTGTGCAGGCAGGTCTGACAGCATCACCATTCATCCACGTAAAGTGGGCAAGAATTCTCTTTGAGGCCGGGCACGGTGGCTCACGCCTGTAATCCCAGCACTTTGGGAGGCCAAGGAGGGCGGATCACAAGGTCAGGAGTTCGAGACTAGCCTGGCCAACATAGTGAAACCCCGTCTCTACTAAAAATACGAAAAATTAGCCGTGTGTGATGGTGGGCGCCTGTAATTCCAGCTACTCAGTAGGCTGAGGCAGGAAAATTACTTGAACCCGGGACGGGGAGGTTGCAATGAGCCAAGATCATGCCATTGCACTCCAACCTGGGTGACAGAGTGAAACTCTGTGTCAAAAAAAAAAAAAAAAAGAAAAGAAAAAGGAAAAAAAGAATGCTCTTTGATCATTAGAGACCATTTGACCAGGTGCCGTGGCTCACATCTTAATCCCAGCACTCTGGAAGGCCAAAGTGGGGGGATTGCTTGAGGCCAGGAGAGTAGTCTGGACAACACAGTGAAACTCCATCTCTATAAAAATACAGAAGTTAGCCAGGCATGGTGGTGTGTGCCTGTCTTCCCAATTACTCCGGAGGCCAAGAGGTAGGAGGATCAATTGAGCCTAGGAAGTTGAGGCTGCAGTGAGCTAGGATCGCACCACTGCACTCCAGCCCGGGCAACAGAGCAAGGGCCTATCTCAAAAAAAGGGACTTCCACACCCTGAGCCCTGGAGCTGGGTCAGGTGGCTTTTCTGGGCTGCCACAATGCCCTCTGCTTCACCTATGACGGGGGTCATTACCCTGTGTCTGCCACAGAAGAGCTGGGATGGGTCCCATATGTCACATATCACCAGGTGACATGGGCATCAGTGGAGGGAGGAGACAGATGGAGAGTGTGGATAAGGGTTGGGTAGGGAGTTACCAGAGGGTTAGGAAGGATCTCCCTGTGAAATGAAGGCACGGGCCATGTCCCGGGAAGGGCATTCCAGGCAGAGGGCTTAGCATGTGCAAAGGCCCTGAGGCCTGATCGTGCCTGGTGTATTGGAGGAACAGTGACAAGGTGGGTGTGGCTGAAGCTCAGTGAGTAGGAGAGTGGGAAGGAGGTCGGGGGAGTCCTAGGTACCTGGGCACACAGGGCTCATGGGCACCAGGTGGATGTCTGACATGGGTACAAACAGAATCCTCTAGAGGAAGTGGCTGGGAGTTGGGGAAGTCCCAGTTGAGACACTCGTACTATTCCCTGTGAGGTGTGATTTGCTGCACCTAATTAATCCCATGAATCCTTTCCACAATGCTAGAGAATATGGGCCACTGAGTCCATTTCAATGATAAGGAAACTGAGGCCAGGCGTGGTGGCACATGCCTGTAATACCAGCACTTTGGGATAGTGAGACCCCATCTCTACAAAAAATACAAGAATTCGCCGGGTGTGGTGGTGCACGCCTGTAGTCCTAGCTACTTGGGAGGCTGAGGTGGGAGGATCGCTTGAGCCTGGGAGGTCGAGGCTGCAGTGAGCTGTGACTGCGCCACTGCACTCCAGCCTGGGTGACAGACCGAGACTAATCATTTCATTTCATTTCATTTCATTTCATTTCATTTCATTTCATTTCGACAGAGTCTTGCTCTGTCATCCAGGCTGGAGTGCAGTGGTGTGATCTTGGCTCACTGCAACCTCCGCCTCCCAGGTTCAAGCGATTCTCTGGTCTCAGCCTCCCAAGTAGCTGAGATTACAGGCACCCGCCACCACACCTAGTTAATTTTTGTGTTTTTAGTAGAGAGGGGGTTTCACCATGTTGGTCAGGCTGGTCTCCAACTCCTGACCTCATGATCTGCCCGCCTCAGCCAACCAAAATGCTGGGATTACAGGTGTGAGCCACCGCGCCCGGCCTGTTTATTTTTAAAATAAAAAAAAAAAATTAAAAATAAAGATAAGGAAACTGAGGCCCAACCCCTGCCCCCAACCCCACAGCTAATCAGGCCCAGGGCTAGGGCAGAAGCCTGTGTTGTAGGCCTCTAGAGGGGCCCTCCTCTCCAGCCAAGCCCCTAACCCAACATGGTTCCAGGAGCTGCCTGAGTTCGAGGGGGATGTCCTTGCCATGGGCAGCCAGGCTCTGACCACTGAGGGCATCTATGAGGACGTCATCCGGGGGTGCTTGCTGCAGAGGATTGACCGAGGTGAGTCCTGCCCTGCCGTGGCTCAGAGGAGTCTGGCGTCCCCTGCCTGTATGTACTGAGCCCCACCAGGGCCCCATCGACTCTCACTTCCTGTGACTACTTGCCATTTGACCTTAAGTCAGGACTTGGCCAGAGGGGGTCCAGGGCAGAGGAGCTCAGAAGGGCAGGGATGGATACTCTCTGAAGGAAGGGTCATTGGATTGGGGCAGTGAGGGATGTATAGGAGTTCTCAGGATGAGAAGAAGGAGGCAGAGTTCAAAAACTACCAATACAGGCTGCGTGTGGCGGCTCACACCTGTCATCCCAGCACTTTGGGAGGCTGAGGTGGGTAGATCACTTGAGGTCAGGAGTTTGAGACCAGCCTGCCCAATATGGTGAAACCCCGTCTCTACTAAAAATATAAGAAAATAGGCGGGCGTGATGGCACACACTTGTAGTCCCAGTTGCTCGGGAGGCTAAGGCAAGAGAATCGCTTGAACCCAGGAGGTGGAGGTTGCAATGAGCCAAGATTGAGCCACTGCACTGCAGCCTGGCAACACGGCGAGACTATGTCTTTCTTTTTTTTTTTTTTTTTTTTTTAGACAGAGTCTCGCTCTGTTGCCCAGGCTGGAGTGCAGTGGAATGATCTTGGCTCACTGCAACCTCTGATGCCTGAGTTCTGAGTTCAAGCGATTCTCCTGCCTCAACCTCCTGAGTAGCTGGGACTACAGGCACATGCCACCACGCCCAGCTAATTTTTGTATTTTTAGTAGAGATAGGATTTCACCATGTTGGTCAGGCTGGTCTCAAACTCCTGACCTTGTGATCCTCTCCCCTCGGCCTCCCAAAGTGCTGGGATTACAGGCGTGAGCCACCACACCTGGCCGAGACTCCATCTTTTATTTTTTATTTTATTTTTGAGACGGAGTCTCACTCTGTCACCCAGGCAGGAGTGCAATGGTGTGATCTCGGCTCACTGCAACCTCTACCTCCTGGGTTCAAGCCATTCCCCTGCCTCAGCCTCTGAGTAGCTGGGACTACAGGTGCATGCCACCACACCTGGCTAATTTTTGTATTTTTAGCGGAGATGGGGTTTCACTATGTTGGCTAGGCTGGTCTCGAACTCCTGACCTCGTGATCCGCCTGCCTCAGCCTCTCAAAGTGCTGGGATTACCAGCGTGAGAGACTCCATCTTAAAACCAACAAACTACGGATAGACATTTAAATTTATTCATTTAACAACCACTCCATTTTTCTCTGGGCTGGCATTGAGGCCCTAGAGGTTTACAGAGTTGGAGTTGGCCTCTTAGGAGCTTCTGAGCTGGGAAGGAGCTCCAGAAATATCTTTCTCCCTCCTGCTTCCTGAGTTCATTCATGAATTACTTAATGCCCATGATCACTGAGATGTGTGCACTGATTGGGGGGTGAACGGGATGCAGTGGCAATTCAGGGAATGTCAGCATCCATGCAGCCAGCACAAGGGCACGGAGTGGGAGGCTGGAGGCTGCTGGAAGACGTGCAGGGCCTTGAATGACAGGCAGAGGAATTTAGATTTATTGTGCAGGCAATGGGAAGCCATGGAGGGTGTGTGAGCAGAGGTCAACAGAAGCCAGACTGGAAGTGAGGGAGGAGGCTGAGGCCCCGGTTCTGGGAACAAAGGACAGGCCCGAGCAGGGGCAGCAGCCAAGGGGACAGAGACTAGGAGGGAGGTGGAGGTGGGAGCTGGAGGTGTCAGAGGTGTTGGGCTTCAGGTGTCACTAAGTGAAGGTGAGGTGGCCACAAGCCAGGGAAGGTGTGTGGAGAACAGAAGGGAATCTCAAAAAGCCCTCATTTGAAGGAAAGAGGAAGAACAGACATAGAAGGTGAGGTCAGCGGCTGGGCACGGTGGCTTACGCCCGTAATCCCAGCACTTTGGGAGGTCGAGGCAGGTGGATCACTGGAGGTCAGGAGTTTGAGACCAGCTTGGCCAACATAGTGAGACCCTGTCTCTACTATGAATACAAAAATTAGCTGGGTGTGGTGGCGCATGCCTGTGGTCCCAGCTACTTGGGAGGCTGAGGCAGGAAAATTGCATGAACCCAGGAGGCAGAGGTTGCAATGAGCCAAGATCGCACCACTGCACTCCAGCCTGGGCAACAGAGCTAGACTCTGTCTCAAAAAAGAAAAAAAAAAAAAATTATATTGGTGAGGTCAGCCAGGCGCGGTGGCTCATGCCTGTAATCTCAGCACTCTGGGAGGCCAAGGCGGGCAGATTATGAGGTTAGGAGATCAAGACCATCCTGGCTAACACGGTGAAACCCCGTCTCTACTAAAAATACAAAAAATTAGCTGGGCGTGATGGAGGGCACCTGTAGTCCCAGCTACTCGGGAGGCTGAGGCAGAATGGCATGAACCCAGGAGGCGGAGCTTGCAGTGAGCTGAGATTGCGCCACTGCACTCCAACCTGCGCGACAGAGCGAGACTCCATCTCGGAAAAAAAAAAAAAAAGATGAGGTCAGAGAGTTGGGAGACACCCCCATAGATGGTGGGTTCTTGGGAGCCAGGGAATGAGGGAGAGGATGTGTCTGTGAGCATCTAAACAAGAAAAACGAAGCTTCCTTAAAATAGTAGAAGTTTTAAATAGGAAAAAGAAACCTATTTTCTGACTGCAGAATTAAATCCAGAAACAGGTGACCTCAATGAGTTTCTCTTCCTAGAGATTTTATGTGTCCTTAAGTGGGTCCATCCTGATACTGATTTGTGATGTCTGCCTAGAGCAGCATGTCGGGAGGTGGGACTGGCAGTGTCCAGGCTTGGTGAACGGTGCAGGGATTGGTTAGCAATGTCTGCCATGGGTGCGGGCTTGAAGAGAGGGTCTATGTGAGCCACCTGTTTAGGATTTCTGCTTGAGACATTCATAGTCTCTCTGGGAAAATGCACGGAAGCCCCTTGATGCCTGGGATTCCCCAGGTGTGTCCAAGAGTTCGTCTCATTTCAGAACTGAAAAAGACCTTTGGTGCCAATGATGTATCCTGCACTCTGGACGGCTGCTTGGAGGTCCCATGGGAACAGGAGGGAGCAGGTGGGGAACTCTACAGGCTTCTGAAACATGCCAGTGATGGCTGGGGGTGGGGAGGTGGGGGCCCACATGAGGTTTATGGGATTGTCATGCATGTGGGTTCATGAATGGAACTGAATATACCTCATCTCCTTAACCAGCCAGGCTGGCCAAGCTCGTGAACAAATGCAGTGGGAAGTTGTGGAGTGTATCTGAGCTACAGAGGAACTCTCTAAGCCCAGGCTGTGACATGCATGTGAGCTCAGCCCTCGGGAGCTGAGATTGTGGTGAATTTGTGTCCCATCTCTATCTCTCTCTCTCTCTCTCTCTCTCTCTCCTTTTTTTTTTTTTTTGAGACAGAGTCTAGCTCTGTTGCCCAGGCTGGAATGCATAATCTCAGCTCACTGCAACCTCCTCCTCCCAGGTTCAAGTGCATCTCCTGCCTCAGCCTCCCGAGTAGCTGGGACTACAGGCGCATGCCACCATGCCCGGCTAATTTTTGTATTTTTAGTAGAGACGGGGTTTCACCATTTTGGCCAGGCTGGTCTCAAACTCCTGACCTCAGGTGATCTGACTGCTTCAGCCTCCCAAAGTGCTGGGATTACAGATGTGAGCCACCACACCCAGCTTTTGTATCCCATCTAATCCCAGGATTTAGGGGGCATCTCCCAATGGCTACTTCCTGTTGCCAACTTGGAAAGGGAGATTGTAGTGATGGGGGCCTTAGGTTTGCCACCAGCAAGAGCTTGCAAGATGGGCATAATTTGGGGGACAATTTTTTTATGCAGCAATAGCTAACTAATACACTTCCTAGCTGATCTGGGACAGAGAAACTGATTGATATTTACACTAACTTGTATAAATAGTTAAACAGTCCTAGAAATACTTATTTTATTTATTTTTTTTTTTGTGAGACAGAGTCTCACTCTGTTTCCCAGGGTGAAGTGCAGTGGCACAATCTCAGCTCACTGCAGCCTCCCCCTTGGGGAGTCCAGTGATTCTCCCACCTCAGCCTACAGAGTAGGTAGGATTACAGGCACTTGCCACCACGCCTGGCTAATTTTTGTATTTTTAGTAGAGATGGGGTTTCCCCATGTTAGCCAGGCTGGTCTCGAACTCCTGACCTGAAGTGATCCACCCACCTTGGCCTCCCAAAGTGCTGGGATTACAGGCGTGAGCCACCGCGCCCAGCCCAGTCCTAGAAAGATTTCTAAGGCCAGGCACAGTGGCTCATACCCGTAATTCCAGCACTCTGGGAGGCCAAGATAGGTGGATTGCTTGAGCCTAGGAGTTTGAGACTAGCCTGGACAACATAGCAAGACCCCCATCTCTACAAATATTTTAAAAATTAGTTGGGTGTGGTGGAATGCACCTGTAGTTCCAGCTACTTGGGAGGCCAAAGTGGGAGGATTACTTGAGCCCTGGAGATGGAGGTGGCATTGAGCTATGATGGCACCACTGCCCTCTAGCCTGGGCCACAGAGAGAGAGCCCGTCTCAAAAAAACAAACAAATACAAACTTCTGAGTGTCAGAATATTTAAGGATTTGCAATTGGATGTGAGGGATTGTAGATGGGTTCCTGAATCTATTTAACCAGAACCAACGGGCATTTGGTTTCTAGTCTTCATACTAACAGCCAGTGCTACAGGGGATAATCTTGTACATACTTGTTTTTGTTTTGTTTTGTTTTGTTTTCTTTTGTTTTGTTTTTGCAAGTGCAGGTTCCTGTGGGCAAATCCTGCAATGGGAAACCTCAGAATTTAAAGTATATGTGTTTGTCACTTCAACAGAGGGCTGTCCACCAGGGTAGCCTCACCTGGTGCCCCTCACCTTTGTCCGGGAGGTTTAGGAGCTGCTTTTAGCTCCTTTTCCGAGAACCTTCTTTCCTATCCTTCACCCTTTCATCTTTTGACTGCTTATACATTTCTTTTTCTTTCTTTTTTTCTTTTTCTTTTTTGAGACGGAGTCTCGCTCTGTCGCCAGGCTGGAGTGCAGTGGCAGCATCTTGGCTAACTGTAACCTTCACCTCATGGGTTCAAGCGATTCTCCTGCCTCAGCCTCCCCAGTAGCTGGGATTACAGGCGTCCACCACCACGCCTGGCTAATTTTGTATTTTTAGTAGTTTCAACATGTTGGCCAGGCTGGTTTCAAATTCCTGACCTCAGGTGATCTGCCTGCCTCGGCTTCCCAAAGGGCTGGGATTACAGGCATGAGCCACTGCGCCCAGCCTACATTTCTTTATTTTTATTTTTATTTTTTGAGATGGAGTTTCGCTCTTGTCACCCGGGCTGGAGTGCAATGGCGCGATCTCGGCTCACTGCAACCTCCGCCTCTCAGGTTCAAGTGATTCTCATGCCTCAGCCTCCCGAGTAGCTGGGATTACAGGTGCCCACCACCGTGCCCAGCTAATTTTTGTATTTTTAGTAGAGATGAAGTTTCACCATGTTGGCCAGGCTGGTCTTGAACTCCTGACCTCAGGTGATGGGGAGGTCAGGCACCTGGCTTGGCTTCCCAAAGTGCTGGGATTATAGGCATGAGCCACTGCGCCCAGCCAACATTTCTATTAACTCTGATTTTTTAAGCACTTATTACTTGCCGGGCATCTGACATGTCTGATTTTTTATGTCTGTTTATTTTCCATTATACAGATGAGGAAACTGAGGTTGAGCGGGAAGGAGGGACTTGTCCCAGGCAGCCAGGCTCTGGTGCCCAGATCCAGCCACTCTGCCCACCACCTTCTCAAGGAACATTCCAGAGCTGAATCTTCACCCACACCTATCTTGTTTCTATTGGATAAATGTCTACAAGTGGAATTTCTGGGCCAAAACAGATGAGCCATCTTTAGGCTTTTGTAACCCCTGCACCTCCAGAACACTGTGCCATTTTATACTCTGAGCAGCAGCATTTATTTGTGAATTTTCTCCAAGCCTTTATTTCAATTTTTTGGTTTTTTTGAGACGGAGTCTTGCTCTGTTGCCCAGGATGGAGTACAGTGGCAGGATCTCAGCTCACTGCAACCTCAGCCTCCCGGATTCAATCAATTCTCCTGCCTCAGCCTCTCAAGTAGCTGGGATTTCAGGCGCCCACCACTGTACCCAGTTAATTTTTGTATTTTTGGTAGAGATGGGGTTTCACCATGTTGGCCAGGCTGGTCTCGAACTCCTGTCTTTAAGTGATCTGCCTGCCTGAGTCTCCCAAAGTGCTGGGATTACAGGTGTGAGCCACTGCACCTGGTCTAATTTTTTTTTTTTTTAAATAATAGAGACAGGGTCTTGCTATGCTGCCCAAGCTGGTCTCAAACTCCTGGACCCAAGCAATCCTCCTGTGTCGGCCTCCCAAAGTGCTAGGATTACAGGAGTGATCCACTGTGTCCAGCCTCCAAATCCTTTCTAAACACTAGGACTTTTCATAAAAAGAAAAAAGCCATGCCAATTAGACACACACAGAAATCTCATTATTTTATTTTGAATTTCTTTGACTAAATTGAACTTACAAATAAATTTATTATGGCCAGGTGCGGTAGTGCACATCTGTAATCCCAGCACTTTGGGAGACTGAGGCAGGCAGGTCGCTTGAGTTCAGGAGTTCAAGACCAGCCTGGCCAACATAGTGAGACCTCGTCTCTACGAAAAATACAAAATTAGCGGCTGGGAGTGGTGGCTCATGCCTGTCATCCCAGAACTTTGGGATGCTGAAACAAGTGGAATGCTTGAGCCAAGGAGTTCGAGACCAGCCATAAATAAATAAATAAACAAATAAATAAATAAATAAAAGCTGGGCTGAGATGGGAGATTTACCTGAGCCTGGGAAGTCAAGGTGCAATCACCACTGCACTCCAGCCTGGGCAATGGGAGTGAGACCCTGTCTCAATAAACAAAATCCAAATATATTGATTAGCCATTTACATGTTTGTAGTTTTTCTTTTCTTTTTTTTTTTTTTTTTTCAGTGAATTGCCTGTTCATAGCTTTTTTCTACTTTTTGGGAGTGTTTGTATTTTTCTTATTGATATCTAATAACTCTTTATATCTGAAAGATATGAAGGCTTTGTGACACAGGTTACAGATTTTTTTTTTTTTTTTTCTCTGCTTGCTGTGAGCCTTTTGGGTTTGTTTCCTAGCTCCGACTCTTAACTTGGTATCAAGTTTCCTGGCTGGGAGACAAGCTTTTACCGACTTCCTCTGCTTGCCAGAAAAGTCATCTGCCAAGTAGATACTGGCAGCCTCTCTGCTGTCTTGCAGCTGCTTCCGGAGTGGGTTCCACAGGGATTCCCCTGTATTCTTGGTTCAGCTTGCAGAGGGACTTTCACACCCCATGGAGACCGTTTCCTCCCATTCTGTCTGGAGTTTTCAGCCTACCTCAAGACAATGAGATATTCCTGACCTTTCCACCTATTTCCCTTCAACTCCACCTTCTGAAATACATTTGCACAATACATGTGCCCTTCATAGGCTTCTTTAGCTGTCTTCCTTTTACCCTGGACGGGATGTAGATGTTAATTCTGGAACAATTGCAGCTACAAGAATTTGTCATCCTTCCCCTTTTGAGAAAACCATTGTTTGCCCTTGGGTCTAAATCCTTCCAGATGGGATGGGATGTATCTTGTCACCCCTTTTTCTTACTTAACATGAAAAGACCTTTCCTCCTCAAGTCCACAGAGTGTAAATTTGTCTTTACTTTTTTTTTTTTTTTTTTTTTTTGAGACGGTGTCTCACTCTGTCGCCCAGGCTTGAGTGTAGTTGTGCAATCTTGGCTCACTGCAACCTCCACCTCCTGGGTTCAAGTGATTCTCCTGCCTCGGCCTCCTGAGTAGCTGGGATGACAGGCAAAGTGCCACCATGACCGGCTAATTTCTTGTTTTTTTTTAGTAGAGATGGGGCTTCACTATGTTGACCAGGCTGGTCTCGAACTCCTGACCTCAAGTGATCTGCCTGTCTCAGCCTCTCAAAATGCTGGGATTACAGGCGTGAGCCACCGCACCTGGCCTGTATCATTCTTAAAAATTAAGTTTTAGCCGGGTATGATGGCTCACTGGTAATCCCAGCACTTTGGGAAGTTGAAGGGGGAGGATTACTTGAGCCTACCAGGAGTTTGAGAAGAGTGTGGGTAACATAGGGAGACTCTATCTCTACAAAAAATTTAAAAGTTAACTGGGCGTGGTTGAGTGCACTTGTAGTCCCAGCTACTTTGGAGGCTGAGGCAGGAGGATCAGTTGAGCCCAGGAGGTTGAGGCTGCAGTGAGTCATGATCATGCCACTGCACTCTAGCTTAAGCCACAGAGTAAGACCCTCTCTGTGGAAAAAAAAAAAAAAAAAAAAAAAAAAAAAAAAAAAAGTTCAGATGTATTTTTTAAAGTTTTTATTGTTTTTAAAAATAGAGGCACGGTCTTGCTATGTTGCACCACTGCACTCCAGCCCGGGCGACAAAGCCAGACTCCGTCTCAAAAAAAAAAAAAAAGTGTGATACTAAGTCAATCAATTTGAAAATACGGCACTAGAGTATTGGAAAACAATCCCTTGGTAGCATTTCCATTAAAACACAGCCCTTGTCTCTGGAAGAGCTTGTGCTCAGAACGGTCCATTATCATGCCCTGGCTCCATTTTCACGCCAACCCTGTAGGGTCTCTATGATCTCATTTTATAGATGGACAGACTGAGGCTCACACACAGTAAGCCCAGGGCGGGGACTGGATGTGACGCCAGGTCTGTGGACGTCATGACCTTTATTCTCCACAACCCTCAATGACATCCCTGTGAGGTCCAAAACCAGGATGGCAAAACCCACGTTGCAGCGAGGAAACTGAGGCTAAGGTCTCTTGGGTCCCAAACCAGGTCCTAAGTAGCCAAGTCCGCCTGCTGGCACAGCCCAGGTTTTATACATGGGGAAGTTGGGCGGCGCATCAGGCGGAGGTCTCGGTGGTCGCAGGCTCATGGAGAAAGCGCGGGTTCCTAACCCTAACGCTACCCCTAACCTCCCTTCCACGCGCTCCAAGCGCTCTGTGCCTTTAACGTGGGTGCGGGGGCGGGGCGTCCTGGGTAGGGCTGCAGGTGACGTCACTCCGGGCTTTGGGTCTCGAAGAGCGTCTGGAGGCGGGGCCTGGACTTCACGCCAGGCGCGCTCCTCCCCTTTAAGGCGCGCGGCCGGGCGGGGCCCCAATGACCCCTTTAAGGCGCGGCCAGAGTCCTCCCGCAGAAAAACGACTTAAAGGAGACGCGTGGCGCGATGGCGGCGGCCCCACGCGGCGGCCGGCGGCGCGAGCAGTCGCTGCAGGCGCTGCTGTTTCTGCTGCTGGCGCCACTGCCGCCGGGGGGCCAGCCGGGGGCCGACGCCTACTTCCCTGAGGAGCGCTGGAGCCCGGAGTCGCCCCTGCAGGCGCCGCGCGTGCTCATCGCGCTGTTGGCGCGAAACGCGGCCCACGCTTTGCCCACCACGCTGGGCGCACTCGAGCGGCTGCGGCACCCGCGGGAGCGCACTGCGCTATGGTGAGCCGAGCCCGCTGTCCCCATCGGGCGGGTCCACGAGAGCCCCTTCTCGCTGTCCCCTTTGGGGTGGATTCACACGAGCCCCTGCCCGCTATCCTCTTTTGGGCGGATCCGCGCGTGCTTTCTGCTCTCTACCCCCATCGGGACGGTTCTACGCATGCCCCTGCCCGCTGCCTCATCGGGATGGGCCCACGCGTGCCCCCTGCCTGCTGTCCTCCCATGGGGCCAGACACAGCCCTCCCCACATTAAGACAAGCGGGACCGAGTTCCTCCTGCTGGCTCCTTTAGGGTGGGCTGGGCACCGCTCCTGTCTGCTGGACCCTACTAGGGCAGATCCGGCCCCACTGACTGTGACTCGTTCTAACTCCCTCTGGAGCACGTACACCTCCAAAGGACTGATGAGCCCGGAGCCCCCACTGGGGCGTTGCCAGGGGCCACATCTAACAGCAAGCTTTTCTGTGCCTGCTGCTGCCCTTAAGCTTGAACTCAGCCCGGCTCCAGGCCCCAGTCAAACCCCTGCCCTCGGACCGGCGTGGGTGGAGTCCAGGACCAGATGGCCCAGGAGGAAGTGGATGCTTTCTTGGGAGGGAACGGGCCAGAGCTCTGAAGAAGTCTTTGGCTGGTGACTTCTCACTCCCTGCCTCAGTTTCCTCAAATGGAAAATAGGTCCGGGCGCTGTGGCTCACGCAGTAATCCTAGCAATTTGGGAGGCCAAGGTGAGCGGGCCACTTGAGCTCAGGAGTTCAAGACCAGCCTTGTCAACATGGCAAAACCCTGTCTCTAGAAAAAATACAAAAATTAGTCGGGTGTGGTGGTGTGTGCCTGTAGTCCCAGCTATTCAGGAGGCGGGAAAATCGCTTGAGCCCAGGAGTTTGAGGCTGCAGTGAGCTATGATTGCACCACTGCACTCTAGCCTGGGCTACAGAGTAAGACCCTGCCTCTAAAAAAAAGAAAAAGAAAAGAAAATGAGTGTATTAATATAATTCTCTTTTTGGGTTTGTCTCTGAAGATTAACCAGTTAATGGATGTGGAGTCCTTGGGTCTGGCATGGGCTTGGCTCTCAGTGATTTTATTATGATTACTATCATTGCTGGTGTTATTCATTGCTGGTGTTATTGTCAACTTAATTTATTGGGTAGAATTAGCTCTTGGCACTACAGTCAAACTAAACTCCCAAATGTTGCTTTTCCTTCCACCCGATTTCCCAGTCTGGATAATCCAAATACACAATTGGTACTTAACAAATGTTTGTTGAATGAATAAATGACTGCAGCCCACTGAAGTGGTGTGGCTCACAGGAGAAGATGAAGGAAGGCAGGGTAAGGGGTTTATGAGATATACTTTGAGATGAGATATGCTTTTTTTTTTCTTTCTTTTTTAAGACGGAATCTTGCTCTGTCGCCTAGGCTGG